TGTGTCCTCACATAGCCTCAGATGGGGAGAAAGATCTTTGGTAATTCTTATAAGGATCCCAGTCTTCTGTCAGATTAGTGTCCTAATCAATGACCTCATTTAACCTTAATTCCCTTCTTAAAGGCCCTGTCTCCAAATACAATCATATTAGGGGTTGAGGCTTTAACAGGTAAGTTCTGGGGGTGTTCTTCACTCAGTAACACCATGGGTCTACTCAATGTACAATAAGACATTTCTCAGAGAAAAAGGATCGTTTTGTGTGTGTGTGGTACATGAACTCAGGGCCTTTACCTTGAGCCACTCCACCAGTCTTATTTTTGTAAAGAGTTTTTTGAGATAGAGTCTCATGAACTATTTGCCCAGGCTGGCTCAATCCTCCTAATCTCTGCCTCCTGAGTAGCTAGGATTATAGTCGTGAGCCACCAGTGCCCAGCAAAAAAGGATCTTTTGAATTTGACTGGCAGGCAGTGGCATTCACTAACAGGATATTCAATGGGGTGAGGGATTAGACTAGATTGGACTGGATACAGGTGTCACTACAAGGGAAAACTCAGTCAAGTAATCCTGGATATCTGGAGTACAGTATTGGATGTTGGAATGCTAAAGTATTTTAGGAATGCTTTCAGCTAAGAATGAAAAAAAAAAAATCCCAAAAGTCAAAACACAGGCACACAAAAGAGAAAATTCAACTCATATGGCTTAAAAACTTAAGGAAGTTGCTGGGTGCATTGGCACTCATAGCTGGGAGTCAGAGGTAGAAGGATCAAGGAAGGTTTGTTCAAGGCCAGCCTGGATAAAACAAGTGCAACACCTTATCTGAAAAACAAAACAACCCCCCAAAAAAACCTAAAAAGGATTGGAGGCATGGCTCTAGAGGTAGAGCACTTGCCTAGCAAGCATGAACTTCTGAGTCCAATCCCCAGAATTGCAAAAACAAAACAAAACCAAAAAAAAAAAAATCAAAACCAACCAACCAACAAACAAATAAGTAGTTGGAAATACAAAGGCAGAGGGGACTTTGGGTTGTTTGATCAAGTGACTGAGTGTTCTCATCAGAGTCCCAAGGTCTGTCTATAGTGTTGGCTTCTTTCAAAAACTCTTCTAATGGTTTTAGGCTAACTACAGCAATGGCAAATTCCCCTTCTTTTTAGGGGCTCCCAAGCAAATGCTTGTTGAAACAAGACTGGCTGAAGCTACTACCATTTGAATTTAAGAGCTGATGCTATGTTTCAAATAGGAATTGTGATAGATTCTTAGCAATGAGTTTCAAAGCCTCTATGAGTTATTTTTACCTGGGCATGCTCCAGTCCTTTAAGTCTAGTCACTCACTCCTTGATATGTCTGAGCGTCCCAACCCCCAAATATATGGATACTCCTGTCCCAGACACTGAGTCATTCAGAGGGAGTCACTCCATAGGATGAGATGTTCTCTCCCTGCAATAGCTTAAAAGCTCAGTGATAGAAAAACAATGGTTTTCAAGGCTGTTTAGGTACAAATTTCAGAACACTTGATACATGTCATTTGACCTCTCCAAGTTTCACTTCCTTTATCGTTAAGTATAATAAGCCCAACCGTATAGTACCTAGTGGAGGAGGCTGTTAAGAGGGTTAGAAAGTATGGACATAGAGTTAGCCACAAGTAGACTGTCTTATTCATAGTAGTAGATATCTCTTTTCAAGGTCTCATTTTTTTCAAAGACTTTTCAGATCTGGAGATAAGTATGTATATCTATGACCAGAAAAAGACTGATAGAGATCACCCTAGCAGGTGACCTTTGGTTTTCTGTGTGTACATACATATATACATTTTGTTTTCCAAGTTTTCTTTCTTAAACACTATTTTTATCACACAAGGTAATCAGTGTGTGTGTGTGTGTGTGTGTGTGTGTGTGTGTGTGTGCACGAGCATGAGCACGAGCACTGGGGTTGGAACCCAGGGCCTTCAGCATGCTAGGCAAACCCTCTACCACTGATCTACACCTCAGCCCAGTACTTTTTTCATTTAAATTTTTTAAGAATTTTGACTTGGTTTTGATATTGGCACAGATAGAGAAAAGGATGTCTTGAGGAGGGTGGTTTCAGAAGATAAAGAGGAAGTAACACATAAGGCAGGGAGTGATGGTAGCTGGCAGAGAGAAGCAGCAGTAATGGTTGAAGAGGAAGTAGTGGAGAAATGTAAAAACCACAAGGCCAAGGCTGCCAGATAATAAAATTGCACAGTTTGGCTGGCTGGGTGACTGACAGCTGGGAGTCAGGAAAGAATTGCTGGGGATAGTCAAGATTCTTGGGAAGTGAACTTTAAAATAGTTGATCTTACTGTGTCTTGTCAGCATGGCAAGACGAACTTCAAAAAGGAAAGCTTGAGTGGCCATCTCTCTCATATGGTCAGAGCCCAGAGCCTGTGTTTGGCAGATGATGGTTCTCAGGCTGTGGAATGGCTGTGGAATAGGATCGCCAGAATGATAAGTGGAATCAGCAAAGTGGAAAGAGTCTAAGCTTTGGAGTCAGATAGCACTGTCTTTGAATCCCAACTTGTCACTTACCAGCCACGTGACACTGAGCAATAACCAACATTTTTCACAAGATCAAATGGATGATTAAGGGGACAATGATAAATAAGACATTAAATTATGCCTTTTTATTTTTATTTATTCATTTATTTTGGTGGTACTGGGTTTGAACTTAGGGCCTTGTACTTACTAGGCAGGTGCTCTACCACTTGAGCCATGCCACCAGCCTCAAATTATGCTTTTTACTAAACAAAATAAATAGAAAGTTATAATTCTCAGAAGCAATTGCTTTGAAAAAACCCAATTGATTAAACTAAAAACGTTGTTTATATCACCTTTTATTGCTTAGCAAACCTTGTTGTAGGGAAGACTTTCCCACAAGTCTTACAGAAAACAATCTTCAAATAAAATCAGCTGAAATCAGCTGTTTCTTTTGGTTTTTCTTTCTTTCCTTCTTTTTTTTCTTTTTGTGGTACTGAGGTTTGAACTCAGGGTCTTGCACTTTCAAGACAGGTGTTCTACCACTGGAGCGGTATCCTCCTAAATCAGCTGTTTCTGACTTAAAATATAAATATTTCAGACATATGCTGTTTGTTGTATCTTTTACCCTATAGTTTCAGTTTCATAAAGTTTCAGGCATGTTTTTCTGGGCCTGGCCTTTTGTGCAAATGGAACTCTTCTCTACACATTCCCCCACTGGTCTGTGGGAACAATAAGCAATTGAAAATGTTGGGCTAGGAAAAAAATCTTTTTTTTTTTTCTTTTCAGTTACTGGGGTTTGATCTCAGGGCCTACACCTTGAGCCACACCACCAGCCTTTGTGTGTGTGTGTGTGTGTGTGTGTGTGTGTGTGTGTGTGTGTGTATGTGTGTGTGTGAGTGAAGGATTTTTTCAAGATAGGGTCTCCCAAACTATTTGCCCTGGCTGGCTTCGAACCAGAGATTCTCCTGATCTCTGCCTCCTGAGTAGCTAGGATTACAGATGTGAGCCACTGGTGCTGGGCTAGGAGAAAATAATCATACATCAAACACCCATTAAGTGATACAGTGCCTGCCTAGCAAGCATGAAGTCCTGAGTTCAAACCCCAGTAGCAGAAAAAAAATTAATAAGCAATGATTAGCAAGCTATTAAGAGAATGGACTTTGGAGCCAGCGTATATTTCCTGTGTTGCTGCATCATTTCTAGTTGTGGGATCTTGGATAAATTGTGGGACCTCTCTCTCTCTCTCTCTGTTAAGTACATTCTGTACCACTAAGCTACATCTCCATCTTCATACCTCATTTTCTAACATCCTAAGGTTATTGTGGTAATTAAATGAATTCATATTTGTAAAGTTGGGCTGGAAATGTAGCTCAGTGGTATGAACAAGACCCTGGATTGGAGCCCCAGAACTGCAAGGAATAAACAAAAAAAAGCCCACCCCTCAATAAACAAAAGTCCCCCAAAGCTTTTGTCTGTAAAGCCTTTATAAAAGTGCCTGGCACACAGTAAAGCTGTTTTATCTTTTGTTTTGGTGTGGGGATTGAACCCAGGGCCTCACACTTGCACTCTACCACTGAGCTGTGCCTCCAGCCCTTGGGGATCACTATTAGACCCCTAGTTCACACTCCTTGATGCTTCATCCATCCTTTATTCCCTAGATGGATTTAGGGCTTGGTTGCTGGGAAGGTGTATTGGCTTTATTAGTATTATAGTATTCCTTTTACCAATAATGCATGGACCAAGATTATGGGGAAGTTTGGACCCTGCCCCAAACTAAAGAGGAAATGCCTGCCATTTTCACACTGTTTACTATGGCTTCGTAAAAGTCCTAGAATATAAATTTTAAGAAATGAGATTGGGCACTTCCCTTCCTGTGGGAAGAGAGCCGGGCTGGAGAATTCTTTGCAGGGAACTGTCTCTATTTGGAAAGAAGTTTTAAGTCTGCTGTTGTGTGGAATCCTAAAGACAGTCATCCCCTTGCTGCCCCGCAATTGACTTTCAAACTTGTGAAATGCAAACAGTCACTCCCAAGTTAGGTTTGAAATCATTCCAGGGTCTTCTAGTTCAGCCAAGTCCTTGCCCATTTTTCTCTTCATTGGGAAGGTGCTGGCAGCCTCATGGCCTTTTAGGTTTCCTTTAAGTTTAGGGTGTTTGAAACCAGGCAAAGAGGAGGCCTAGGGTATTCATTTGGACCAGGGTACCCTCAGCTCACCAAAAGACCCCTAACCTGGAGTGTGGCCAAGACCTTCATTGATTCCAGGTGGGCTATTTCCCGGTTCAGTCCTTACGTTCACCTCCGCTAGCACCGCTCTTAGTTCTGCTTTAAGACCTGCTCCGGAGGGGCGGGGTCGAGGCGCCTGCCTTGCCATTGCGCCTGCGCGGGGGGCCCCGGGGGCTCGGGCCGCTGGGCGGTGTGCCTCCAAGGGGTAGTGTGCAGTGCGCTTGCGCAGGAGGCCCTTGCGTTGGCTTTGCTGGGCGGACTCGCCGCCAGAACCGGGCTGTCATTGCGCCTGCGCGCGGGCGGGGCGCCGCCGCGGTTCTTGACTGTGCTGCGCTCCGTGCCGGGTGTAGCCATGCGTAGAGCCGACTGCGAGCAGCCCCCTAAGCGGCCCCGATGTGATGGCAGCCCGAGAACACCACCAAATACTCCTCCCGAAGTGGCGGACGAGTCACCGGGCCCGGAACTCCACCCTGACCACCAGACTTGGGACCCGGAGCAGGTGTGCTCCTTCTTAGAGAGCAGAGGCTTCAAGGAGCCAGGACTGCTGAGGAGCTTCCGAGGTAGCGGGGCTGAGGGACGCGGGACGGACACCCCAGGAGGGGCCCGTGGGGCCTGAGGACCCGCGCCCCGAGAGAGGGGCTCCTGACAGGACTCATGGTTGAGAGGGGAGCTGCGCCGGGAGACACCCAGAGGAGTGGACCTGCGGCGGAGAACCCTGGGAGAAAGGGGCCCGAGGCGGGAAAGAGGGACATGGCGCGGGGGCTCTCAGAAAGGGTGGACCTGAGGCGGGAAGCCCTGGGGAAAGGGGCCCGAGGAGGGAAGGGGGTCTTGGCGAGGGGGATACCCAGAAGGGAGAGACCAAGAGTGGTACCGAGAAGGAGGAGGGAAAAGTCGGGGCCTCGGGGTTGGTGATCCGTAGGAAGGAACAGGGTCCGGGGATTGTGAATCCGGGTGAGGCGAGTGTAGATTGGATCTTATTCTGGTGGGTTGACACTTGACAAGCGAGGTTGGGTACACTTCTTTTTAACTACAAGACTTTCCCCTAGACCTTGAGCGGCGTCTTGCTGTCATCCAGGCTCCCAGGGCTCTGGAGACCTCTCTGTGCTAACCGCAGGTCCTTGAACACTTGCCACATGAGAGGTTCTGGCACTTTCAAGTTTCTGTTTCCCCTAAAGGGACGGGAAGTTGTTTGGTTAATCTCTGAATTCCCACCGACTACCTTGGCATCCCAGTAAGGCTCTGTGTTTGTAATTGCGAAGATCGATAATGATAAGGTTGCTCTTTGTAAGCAATTTCCCTTCCTAAATCTGAACACCGGGGTTGTTCAGTTTACCACCGAACCCCCAACATTGCACACATTCCACTTGACCACACATGGGGAAGTGTGTAGGTTGAGAGATTTAAGCGACTTTGCTGGTTCACACGTAAAATCCATCAGCTACTTGATATCTACTCAACTTTTTAAAAATTTGTTATTATTATTATTATTATTATTATTATCTTGGTGCTACTGGAGTTTGAACTCAGGACTTCATGCACTCTACCACTTAAGCCATCCTGCCAGCCCTCTACTCAACTTTTTTTTGTTGGTTGTGAAGCTTAACTCCTGCCCCATCCTCCGAGGTGTTCATTTAGAATGAGATTCTTCTCTAGTTGCGATTTGCAAATTCAGTCAACTTTTGTTGTTGTGGGGTGGAGTCCACTTTGCCTAAGTTGAAGAGTGGGGTGGGAGGAACCTTAATGGTTCAGGATCTAAAGAGAACTTAAATATAGAAAGTTGTACTTCTCTTTTTCTCTTTTCTCCTTTCTGCTTCTTTTTTTTGTTTTCCTCCACTACAGGGATGGAGACTTTTCTTTAAATACCAACAAATAAATCTAGTAGTTTTATCTTTTCTATCTGCAAAATTGACTATGTTGTTGGTTGTTTCATTGGTGTTCTGAAGATTAACACATCACATTCCAGAATGAACTATACTCTCTTGACCTCACAGTCTAATGCTAACAGAAGATTACTTGCTTTCAACTGATAGAAACTGACCAATTGTTCCCCCTTAGTCAGGTTTCCCTTTATTTTTTTTGTTCGCTTTTTGGCGGTACTTGGGTTTGAATTCAAGTCTTCCTGATGTTTGCCAGGGAAGTGTTCTACCACTTAACCCACACTCCCAGTCCTTTTTGCTTTATTTTTCTTTTCTCTCTTTTTTTTTGGAGGGGGCTGGGGATGGGGTGGTACTGGAGTTTGAACTCAGGGCCTCATGCTTGCTAGGCAGGCACTCTACCACTTGAGCCATTCCACCAGCCTTTTTTGTTCTGGATATTTTTAACTACTTGCCCAGGCTGGCTTCAAACTGTGATCCTCCTGATCTTCACCCCCTGAGTAGCTAGGATTACAAGCATGAACCATTACACCCTAAGTTTCCCTGTTTTTTTTTTTCAGGCCCATAGATTCTTGCTTGCCCTCAAATCTAAGCAAGCACTAAAAAAAGTAGAATATGCCCCTCCTGGGAATCTGCTGACCACAGTGAAACACCATTCTATCTGATCCCACTAGTCATTTTCTTGCTTGTCCAGCTTTCCCTTCAAAGTTTGCTTATTTTTGCTTGCCCTTCTTTTACCTTATGAAAGAAAACCTTTTTTTTTTTGTTTGATTTTGAGCCCCTGAAAAATTTCTGACATTGGAGCTTTCTCCCTATTTGCAGTGGTCTTTCTAGTTAAAATCCCTCTCTAAGTCTGGATTTGTTTTTATTGGACAAAACCAAGCACAGGTACCAGGTCCCTTTCCTCATTATGGAATGCAGTCTCAAAAGAACCTTGAAATTGGATGCTATAATCCACACTTTTTACAGATGATGTTTATGAGGTCCAAAGATGTTAGATAACTTTCCAAAGTTCACACCACTAGAAAAAAAGCAGCCCTGGATTTTTTTTTTTTTAAGTTAAGTCTTTGGACTCCAGAACTCATTCTAGCTATTCCTTAACAAGTGTTTACATTAAAAACTATTGGAGTGCTGAGAGTGGTGGTGCACATCTGTAAACCAAGCCCTTGAAAGGCTGAGGCAGGAGGATAGAGAATTCCAGGCAAACCTGGGCTACATAGTAAGACTCTGTCTCAAAAAATAAACAAATAAAAAACACTGGAGAATATAACCAAAGATGGAAAATCAACCAAGAATGAAAAAAAAAAAAAGTTGCCCCAATAGAAAAATGAGTAAAACATAAGAACAAACCATTGACAAACTGACTAGCAAACACAGCAAAGTCTGTTCCTTCTCAATCCCGTAGTAATTTTTAAAATCCTATTTTTGTTTTTGTTGTACTGGGACTTGAACTCAGGGCCTTGCATTTGCTAGGGCCCCCAGCCACTCCATCAGCCCTTTTTTGTGATGGGTTTTTTCAAGATGGAGTCTCTCGAACTATTGCCTGGCTGGCTTCAAATCACGATTCTCCTGATCTCTGCCTCCTGAGTAGCTAGGATTACAGGTGTGAGCCAGTAGTGTATTTTTCAAATACAGTTTGCAGTTATGCTTGGGCAGACCTGGACTAAGATCCTCCTATTTACACTTTGCATAGAGCAATGACAGGGGCACACAATCATATCCACCTTCTATTGGTTGAGTTGGAGTCTCACTAACTTCTTTTGTCTGGGCTGACCTTGAACTGTGATCCTCCTAAATAGCTAGGATTACAGGCATGAACCACTACTTTTGTGGGAAAGATGCAAAAGATTGATAATAGGTGAAATAGGTAATTCAGTAAAGTTGATGAAGTATCAGTTGGCTCAACCATGGACAGTTTGGCATTACCTTTTGACTTAGAGGAACTTTAAAGGTATAATTGGACTGGTATCCAAAAAAGTATATATATGTCCTCATGCTTGCTAGGCAGGTACTCTACCACTTGAGCCATACCTCTAGCCCCAAAGAGGTCTATTCAAGATGATTCTTGGAAACCACTGGTTACAGTTACCAAAAAAAGTTGAAATGACCCAAATATCTATCCATAATAACAATAATAAATAATAGCAATGGCTGACACTTATTGAGTATTTACTTTGTGTGAAATACTGTTCTCTGTACTTTCCATGTTTTTTAATTTTTTATGTGGGTACGTGTGGTGCTAGGGATCAGATCCAGGGCCTGTACATGCTAAGCACACACTTTACCACTGACTACACTCCCCCACTCCCTACATGTTTTATCTTGTAAAATCTTTACAGTTCTGTGACATAGGTCCATTGAGGCCATGTTAGAGGTTCATTATACCCATGTCAGAGGCAAGGAGTCTTAAGGCCCAGAAAAAAGCAGCTAAATATATTATGATACATCTATACTGTGGAATACAAAATAGTCTTTAACAATGATGCATAGTTTAACAATTGACAAGAAAGAGGCTTATGAGATTGGATGGAAAAATTGGTTATAAGACAGTCTCATTTATGTAGCATTGCATATTATATAGATAAGTGGGCTATCCAAAATGTTAACAGTGGTTATTAATTAGAAAAATTTAAGTAAGTTGGTATTTTGTACTTTTAAAAAATATTGCTTGGACTTTTTTATACAGAATAACTATTTTTTAAAATAAATTTCTGCCACCAGTGGATGGTATTTTATTATGACAGCCTAACAGACTAGTACAGGATGCTTCAAGTGTTTAGTGGTAGAGACTAGAACTTGAGAAAGCCCTGTTATTTTATTTTCTTTGACAGTACTAGGGTTTGAACTTACGGCTTCACACTTTCTAGGCATGTGCTCCATCGCTTAAGCCACATCTCTAGTCGAATAACTATTTTGCATGATAGAAAAATACAAAAGATACCATTTCATTTCAATATTGTGTGTGTGTCTGTTTATACTAGGGATTGAACCCAGAGCTTCATAAGCCCTCTGCCACATGAGCCACACTTCTAGCCTTCAACTCTCTTTTTTTCTTTTAGAAAACTGCTTCCTCATTTTCTCTTGTTAACATCAGAAAGAAGGTTTTTCTTTGTGTGAAAATAGTCCAGAGTTATGATATCTGAAGTCAGAAAGAACTAGAATTAACTATATAGAAAAAGGATTAAAAAAGTATATCTATATATATATATGTATATATACTCATATAGATATATATAATTTATATACAAAACATGTATGTACATGCACAAAAATATATAACATGTTATACATACATATATATATACAGGTATATATGTACGTGTATTAATATATATATGTTATGTATGCATATATGTACATATATACCTGTATATGTAACATTATACATATGTAAATATGTGCATACAACTTGTTCAAAACACATTGTGTGCTTTCCAAGGAGAGTTTAGAAATAAATCAACACTTTGGGTACTCCCCAGACAATTTATCCTAATAATTCTAAGAACAATAAACTTAAAGTTTCCTTCCCTACCCCTACCCAAGCCCTAGCTACTTAAAAACAGGAAGCTGCTGACCTGGCATAACCTCACGAATAACAAATCAGGTTTCACTTTACCATTTGTTATTGGCTTTTCTTGCAAATAATTTACATGAATAACTCACATTCACCTGATTTATCAAAAAATGCTTTTTGATTTAGTTATTTAATTAAGACTTTCCAAGTAGGAAGTCAAAAGTATGGTTCAGGATAGGGATGTAGCTCTGTGATAGAGTGCTTGCCTAGCATGTGTGAGGTCCTGGGTTCCATCCCCAGCGCCGCAAAAAATAAACAATAACAAAAACAAACCCCAAAACGACCATGAGCCAGTTTTTGAGCCCAGCTTGGTGGTGCATGCTTCTAATCCCAGCACTTGGCTGATGCAGGAAGATCTCAGAGTTTGAGGCCAGCCTGGGCTATGTGTGAAGACACTGTCTTTAAAAAAAAAACCAAATGAACGGTGTGGAGTTGCTGCTCTGTATTTGAGGAGAGTTGGTTCCAGACCTCTATCAGATAACCAAAATCTTCTGATGCTTAAATCCTTTTTATAAAATGCTATAGTATGGCGTCTCGGCCTTTTGTCTAAAATCAATTATAAAGTGGCATAGTATTTACTACTTATGGCAAATACCATGCTCAGCCCTATCTATAAACTTTAAATACCTCTAGATTACTTATAATACCAATATAAATGCTATATACATATTGTCATGCTTTATTTTAGGGAATAATGACAGGAAAAAGAAGTTTGTACATATTTAATGCAGGTGAAGTTTTTTCTGAGTAGTTTCCATCCACACCATAGATACAGAATCCATGACACAGAGGGCTGACTGTACCTCACCCAGTCCGTTGCCTATAGTGGGTACTTAAGAAAAAAATGATCTGGTGGGTTCAAATTGAAAAAAATTTAAAACGTATGTTATAAATAATGAATTTATTTGTTTTTGTTCCATAGAAAATAAGATCACAGGTTCATTACTGCCCTTTCTCGATGAGTCTCTTCTTGAAAATCTTGGAGTAAGGTAAGAATGTAATGAAACATTGTATTCACTTGTGAGAGATAAAGCCCAAGAAGATCTCCAATATTAGCTATCCTCAGTTAAATCTGCACAGTGTTTTAAAACAGAACCTGCTATTTGTTTGTGCTGTGCAAATCCTGTGTTTAATATTACAAATGATTCCTGTTTTAAAGAATTTTGCACATAGGCTTTCATGAAGTTCGTAGTGCCTGACGTTTTACTTTCAGATTCAAAACAATTAAATTATACACATAAGAAAATATGTGGGACACCATAGGAAGAAGAAAGTATTAGCAAGATAATGAAGGTCTTCCAAATCTGTCAGGATTAGAATCGACCCCTGCGTGTAAAATGTTGATTAACATTTAAATTAACCCTTTAAATTTATACGCACACACACTTAGACATCTGTGTGTGACGAGAGGGGCTGGGGTCTAAATTAGAGTGGGGCTACTGTAAAGATCTCATTTGAGCATCTGGTGTTTACATATTCCTTAAAATGGAGCTTTTGTTTCTGTTAAGGAATTGGCAACAGTGATGAAATATGGTCTTTTCTGCAGGAATTTCCTTTATTTAAATGTTGTTTGTGGCAACAGTAACCAAAGAATCAAAACAAAGGGTTATACTGAATTACTCATGCACTATTGCTTAGGATTTGATAATGAAAGTAGATTATGAAAAAAATACCGCTTTAGGATGATTAGAACTAGAATCTTCGGGGACCTCAAAGTCTCTCTTACTACCTATTTCTGTGGGTAGTTGTTGCTTACCACTTGAGCTAAATGGAATTTGTTCTGCTAGTCTTTTTTTTTTTTTTTCTCAATGGAACCATGTGCTTCTTTGGGGACCCAAACACTGTGGACTCATTCATCAAATATTTATAGCAGGCTCACTCTATGTTGGGCATTTTTCCAAGAACTTGGGGCACAAAATTGCAGAAAGTATACTGTATAGCACACCTCTGTGCCCTGCCTTCTGACTTGGATTGTGTAGGACTCCTTAAAGTTGTGTTATCCTGTATGGTAGCCACTAGCTACATGTTTAAATTAATTAAAATGAAATTTAAAAGTTAAATTCTTCTGTTAGACCTATATTTCATGTACTCAACTGCCACTTTATACCTGCTGGCTACTGTGTTGGACAGAGCAGATAAAGTCTTCTTCCATCATTTCAGAAATTTCTGCTGGACTCAGAGGGTGCCAGTGGAATCAGTCCAGTTGCTCACAGTGAAACCAGTGCCACAGCTTGTTGCTGTACAGCCTGAGCAGAATCGTATTTGGCAGGGATTAGCTCTCTTGTCCTGCGAGGGCACTTTTCCAGCTGAATAACAATGGTGTCTTTTAATTGTGAGTGTTTTTCTCTTGAGGGCCTTTCAGTCAGACCCTCTTCCAGGGAGATGGAAACTGGATACCATTATTTCCATTTTGAAGTTGGATAAACTCAGTAAAGAGATCTGCCTGGCCACAGAAGCTGTACTCTTACTCTTCCTAGCCTAGCAAGTGCAAGGCCCTGAGTTTAAGCCCCAGTACTGCTAACAACAAAGAAAATCTCTGTGTGTGCCTGAATGTCTTAAACATCTCTCCTGGCTAATTGTCATCTGGCTGATTTTCCCTTCTAGCCCCTGGAGAAAACAGGACTGGGGTTAGACCTTCCAGCACATAAGAAACTCTGGGTAAAAAACCAAAACCCTGCAAGTGTGCTGCTTTAATTATTTATCAGCTGTACTAATGGCTGTACACATCCCAAGAAAATCATCCGTAGATTTTGTTATCACCATGGATCTCAAACACAGAGGCCAGTTGTGGTGCTTCTGACTTCAAGTCCATGTATGTCTTTGAGCAAAAGTGTTGTTAGTTTGTTTTTTCAGCCTGATAAGTTAGTAGATCAGTAAAGGCTAAGTCCTTACCTGCTGGTTTTGTTGACACTCACCCAGGTGTTCAGCTAATACACCTTGACTAATGAACAATTGTAGATGAAGTAGGACACTGAATTACAAGATTATGAGCTGTTCATGTTTAATTCCTGTTATTCCTCAAACTGGAGCATTATGAGGAATTACAAACAATGGAAGATGAGTATAAAGCCAAAACCTTCCTGTAGACACTTACTTGAGTCATGCCTGGTATTCATAAATAAGTCCAGGACTGTGAAAGTAGGTATTGACTTCAGATTGGTTAAAATCTTTTTGATTCAGGCGTTGCAGTTCATGCTTATAATTCCACCTACTCAGGAGGATAGAGAGTTCAAAGCCAGCTGGGACAAAATTAATGAGACCCTAGAAACAAATACAAACAAAAGGACTAGGGGCATGACTCAGAGTTAGAGGGTTTGCCTAGCAAGCTGGAAGCCCTGGGTTCAATCCCCAGGACTGCACACTCACACAAAATTGTTTGAAATATAAACTGAGCATCAGTAGAGAGGGAGAAGATGTTGGAGTCTGAGTTTGCCAAGAGAGAAAGGAATCAAGAGTAGAACCCTGGGGTAGATCTCCCTTGATTCAGCGGAGCTTCTCCTAGGAGCAAAGGAGCAAAGTTTCCAGGAGGAGTATGTTTGAGTTATGATTGTTCTTCTAACTTAACCTCTCCATTAGAGTGGATAATATAGAGCTGATTATGTACTACTGTATACTCCTGGGGTTATTGTTGAGGAAATAATGATAGATTTGTCTATCCCATTCCAATTTTAGCTCCTTTGGGGAGAGGAAGAAGCTGCTTTATTATATCCAACAGTTGAGTCAAACTCACATTGAGATAATGAAGGTAAGAAGAATCTGAGTTTACTGTGTTTTTTTGATATAAAGTAATATAACTCAATCATGTAAAATTCATTTTAAAAAGAATAGAAGGAAACCTCAGCAATAGGATTGTGAGTAATAGAACTTTACTTTTCTAAACTTTCTGCATTTTCTAAGATGAGCAGTGTACTTAAATCAGAAGAAAAGCTAACATGTATTTTTATTAGCATATTATAGTTGTACTGGAGATACAGCATGACATTTACAAAAGTGCTTATAATATAAAATGCATTAAGCATCCAGAAAAGCATAAATAGACCTGCTCCTAGTTTGATAAATCTCAACATTTTGTCTAGTTTGTTTCAAACCTATTATTTTTAGAATAAAATATTACAAATTACTAATGGCCTCTTTTGCACCCCTCTTATATTCTATTTCTTTTTCTCAGCAGAAATAAACTTCATTCAGAAATTTGATATTTGTCATTTTCATGAATGTTTTTTAATTTCACTACATACTTATATGTATTTACCCATAAGCAATGTTTACTTTGCTGGGGATCAAACCCAGGGCCTTGCCCATGTTTAGGCAAGTGCTCCACCACTAAGATACATCCCCAGCCCTATTATATTTTTGGTAATCACCTACGTTGATACAAATAGCCCTTGCAGCCCACAGTCATAGGATAAGTTTTTTCTTTTTGGTGATGGTACTGGGGTTTGAACTCAGAGCTTCATGCTTACAAAGCAGGAGTTCTAACCCTTGAGCCATTCCTCCAATCCATTTGCTCTCATTATTTTAAGGATGGATTTTCAAGAACTAGTTGCCTAGGCTGGCCTTGAACCACGATCCCCTCAAGTAGCTAGGATTACAGTTGTGAGCCACTGGTGCTCAGTTAGTCATAGAATAACTTTTAGAAGGCAGAGATCAGGAGGATCGAAGTCCAGGCAAATAATTCTCAAAACCCTATCTCAAAAAAAACCTATCATGAAAAAGGGCTGGTGGAGTGGCTCAAGGTATGGGCCCTGAGTTCAAACCCCAGTACCACAAAAAAAAAAAAAGTTATAGTAAATTTTGTCAGTGTTGGTAAGCTTTCTCTTAACTTACTAGTCCAAAACTAGATATATTCCTAAAGTCTAATCTATCAGTAATTCTTTATTCTCTCTTAATCCTATTCAGATATCAAAAGCCCTGTTTTTCAGACTGCAGTATCCAAAAATAACTTTAACAAACATTTCAGCTACCCAGCCTAGAAATTCTGATTCTGAAATCTTAGAGAACAGTTCCTAGAATGTGCATTTTACAAGCTCTTCAGGGTGATTCCAATATCATCTGAAAACATGTTTCTTGATTGGTTGGTGGCAGGAAATGCATCTTATTGTTCATCCTTTTGACATCCCTAGGTTAAGAAAACTTATTTTCAGACCTGGAAGAAGGTCTAGGTAATCTCATTCTCCTTTTGTACTTTATTTATTTATGCAGTGCTGCAGATTGAACTCAGGGCCTCACACATACTAAGGCAAGTGCTCTACCACTGAGCTTCTTCTAAGCCCTAAGCCCTAGTCTTCTGTTTTTCCATTAAAAAGAAAGTTATTTAATCTCATTTGAAAGTTATAAATTACAGTTGTTGAAAATAGAATTTAAAGTTTTGAAGCATGTTAGTGAGTCACCATCAAGTAATGAAATCAGGGCCTTAAATCACATTAACTTCATAAGCAAAACAATTGAACAAAGAACTGACCTCATTGTCCACTCAAATACAGCTCTCAAAGATTCTTACACTAGTTTACTTATCTTTTAATTGCTTTCTTGAGATATAATCAGAATATTTTAGGACATACTCATTTAAAGTATGCAAATTGAGCTGCAGAGGTAGCTCAGTGGTAGAGTGCTTGCCTAGCATGAGGGAAGCCCTGGATTTGATCCTCAGCATTGCAAATGTAAATAAATAGATAGCAATAAAGTATACAAGTCAGTTTTTTTAGATAGTTCACAGAGATGTTCAATCATTGCTGTAATCTAATTTGACTTCTAAGGATCCTTTATATATTCTGGACACAAGTTCTTTTCAGCAATATAATAGGCAGATATTTAATATTTATTTAGGGTGAAATAAATGTGTTAAGAACAGTTATCCTGAATTCTTTTTTATAAAGTGGTTTGAATTTATTTTGCTTTTAACATATTTAGGGTGCAATAAATGCATTAAGAATAGTTATCATCTGAAAAATTGGTGAAGGCTTTTAGGCTTTAAGTAGATTTAAAATAGATTATAGAATTTTTTTTGACAGTCTTTAATAATAAATAGGTTCTTATTTATTTGTGGTGGTTACATTGATATTTTGTAAGGGGAGATCATAGACCCAGACATGATTTTCAAATATGTAAAGATTGTGGAAATTTTTATCTGAAAAGTATATTCGCAGGATTTAATCATAACATTCATGGTTCATTCTAGTCCTAAGATGCTTTGACATCATTTTGGTGAATAATTAGAGGTGACCAAACTTGATATAGTTTGTAATAATTATAAAGTGGTTCTATAGAGCAGGATGAAAAATTGATACTCCCCAAACATCAACCAAATTTCTAATAATTGTTAATGTTGTTTCACAAAGTCATAAATTCTCACCATTACTTGACTGAAGCTAGCCAAGGTGAAATGTGTTGGGCTTTTGTTTTGTTTTTTGTTTTGGAAGCACTGGAGTTTGAACTCAGGCTTCACACTTGCTAGGGAGGTGCTCTAATGCTTGAGCCATACCTCCAGCCTGAGCTGAACTATTTTTAAAGGAAATTCATTCCTATTCCCATGTTCAAATGTTGGTCCAGATAATCCTGACCCCTATAGGTTTCTTTTCAGTACTGAGCTTCTGTAATTAATATTTTATATATTTCTCTGGTATTGATGTGGTATACTTTAAATATAATGGTCCAGCATGTTAACATATATTACTTTGCAATAACAGCTCAACAGTAGTTGTTCAGACATGTTTGAGTTTCTAGTGGGTGTCAGGCAATACGGTGTGTGATGGATTCTGAGAATATAGTAGTAAACCCACAGGGTTCTTCACCTCCCCAAACTCCATATACTTTGTTGCTGCTTTGTTTGGTGCTAGGGATCAAACCCAGGGTCTTCCACATGCTGAGCATATGCTCTATTACTTAGTTATACCCCCAGCTCCTCCATACTCTTTAAAGGAACTTGTTGAAACAATTTAAAGAATTTGCAGGTCATGGGTTAGATAGCTTATCAGATTTCTTCTTTATTCTATAGTCTTCTCTTTAAAAGGCAGTTATTGAGCTGGAGTGCATCTCAGAAGTAGAAAGCCTGGGTTACGCCCTGGGGTTCAATTTCTAGTGTGTGCACACCTGTGTGCATGCACACACACACACAAACACAAAAGCAGTTATTGTGGACAGATAAGAAATTTGTGTCTTTATTTAAACATTCATAGAAAACATAGAAAAGTATTAAATCTTCACCCATACTTAAAGCACATATTTAAGGCTGGATATGGTGGCTTATGCCTGTAATCCCAGAATTTGTGAGGCTGAGATAGGAGGATCACGAGGCCAGCCTGAGCTACATAGAGAGTCCCTGTCTCATAAAACAAAAACAAGCCAGTTGCAGTTGTTCACATCTGAAATCCAAGCTACTTCAGGGGTGGAGATCAGAAGGATTGGGGTTCAAAGTCAGCTGAGCAAAAAAAGTGAGACCTCTTCCCATCTCAACAAACAAGCTGGATGTGATGGTCTATAGTCCCAGCTATGCAGGAGATCATAGATAAGAGAAGGATCACAGTCTGAGGCCAACCCTGGGACAAAAACGTGAGACACTATTCAAAAAACAAGTAAAGAAAAAAAAGGGGAGGTGGAGGTTGGGACCTGGCTCAAGTGGTAGAGTACCTGCCTAGCAAGTGCAAGTCCCTGAGTTTAAAACCCCAGTACTACCAAAATTAAAACAAAACAAAACAAAAAAACCCTGTTAAAACTTAGAGTAATGAATAATTGTGAAATTTGAAATTTGTCTTTACTAAGTGTTTCTGAGTAACCCTTAAGTGCTATAGAAATTTGTCTTCCTGTGTAATTTCTTATATAATGAGAGGTTTTTTCTCTTTATTGTTTCCCTCCTTCCCTCCCTTTCTTCCTCCCTCCCTCCCTTCCTTCCTTCCTTCCTTTTTTTCCTTCTTTCTGTGTACTTTTCTTTCCAAGGATTTTAATAGTGGGCACAGTATAGACATGTTTAGAATAAAATTTAAGACAGTGCCAGAAGTAATACGGCTTACATGCTCTGAATGAATGTGTTTTTTTTTTTTTTTTATTCATATGTGCATACAAGGCTTGGGTCATTTCTCCCCCCACCCCCTCCCTTACCACCCACTCTGCCCCCTCCCTCTCCCCCCTACCCCCTCAATATCCAGCAGAAACTATTTTGCCCTTATTTCTAATTTTGTTGTAGAGAGAGTATAAGCAATAATAGGGAGGAACAAGGGTTTTTGCTGGTTGAGATAAGGATAGCTATACAGGGAGTTGACTCACATTAATTTCCTGTGCATGTGTGTTACCTTCTAGGTTAATTCTTTTTGATCTAACCTTTTCTCTAGTTCCTGGTCCCCTTTTCCTATTGGCCTCAGTTGCTTTTAAGGTATCTGCTTTAGTTTCTCTGCGTTAAGGGCAACAAATGCTAGCTAATTTTTTAGGTGTCTTACCTATCCTCACCCCTCCCTTGTGTGCTCTCGCTTTTATCATGTGCTCAAAGTCCAATCCCATTGTTGTGTTTGCCCTTTATGCATTTTTTAATTGGTGTTTTATTTTGTTTTTGTGGTGTTAGGGAGTCATTCGACCACTGAACTACTCCCCTCAGCCCAATGAGTGTATTTAATTGAATACAAAACTGATTTATTCATGGCTAATGAAATATGTACATAATGCAAAGATCAAAATCCTTATCTTTCTGTTGTTAAAATATACCCAGATCCAATATACTTGATATATCTGATACCTAAATAAGGTAATGATATTATTATCTTGTCATTTTTCTTCATATTATTCTTACTTAATTAGATAGCTCTGACTTTGTAAAGTACTTAGGAATAGCTACACAAATATTTTAGATGGAGTTATGTATTATTGTTGAGACTAATTTAAGCATAATTTTCCAGGTAATTAATGATCCTATCCATGGCCACATTGAGCTCCACCCTCTCCTTATCCGAATCATTGATACACCTCAGTTTCAGCGACTTCGGTATATTAAACAGCTGGGAGGCGGTTATTATGTTTTTCCAGGAGCTTCACACAATCGATTTGAACATAGCCTAGGGTAAGAAGGGAAGGGACCTGGGAATTTTCAGTTTTTAATTACCTCCTCTGTCTCATCAAATAGATGTCTCATTTTATTTATTGGAGAATAAACAGTTTTACGGTAATTACTATTATAATATCCTTTATTAATAAGAAAATTGTGGCTTTTTATTTACCTTACTATATTTTGTTTATTTTGTGTATGTTTTAAACCACCTCACATCCTTCCTGAAAAGGTAATGTCTGGGCATGTAGTTCAAAAAAAAGGTAATGAAAATATCTATTGACGGGTCAGTTGGATTAAATATTTGTCTTTAAATATTATTTATAAGCTAATAAGTTTGATTACTGATGTATCTAACTAACTCTGCAAACCTTCCTTCCTTTATTTAATTTTCCTGTAGTCCCTATTTAGTCTTTTCTGCTCATTTCTCTTCTTGCTGGTACTGGAGTTTGAATTGAGGGCCTTGCACTTTCCAGGCAGGTGCTCTACCATTTGAGCCACACCCCCAGCCCTTATTTCTTTTCTTTAGAGACAGGTGTCCTTATGTATTCCATGCTGGCCTCCAACTCTGATTCATTGTTTTCCAAGTGCTAGGTTTATAGGTGTGCACCACCATGCCTGACTCCTGTGTAGTCTTATACAGATTCACTCTTCACAACTATATAATTTTCTTCTCTATCAGGGAATATGTAAGTTAGAAAAGCATTCATAAGCTTAGAGAAAGTGGAGCCTCTGTTATGACAGTGACGTTGAGGCTTTGGTCTGCTTTCCCAATTATAAAACAGAACCAAGAAACGTGAGCAGAGAAGCACTGGACAGTTTTCCAGATTTTCATGAAGTACTCAGTGTATTTATTACTGTGTGTGTTTTTGTTTGTTATATGGCTTTTCTTTTTCCCTTTCTTAATTTCTTTCCCTCCCTTCCTCCCTCCTTTCCTCCCTTTTCTTTAGACAGAGCCTCCATATGTAACCCAGGCTGGCCTTGAACTCATGATTCTGCTTCAGCCTCCTGGATTATAGATGAGTGCCACAATGCCCAGCTGTATATAAAATTTTTAATTAGCTAAAACTCAAGTATCTATACCCACAAGTCACAGCAATTATTTGTTGAACACGTACTAGACCCTCCTTACTAGACAAGGTAGCAGTTGTCTCCACCCATCTGGAGCTCAGAGTTAGAGAGGAAAGAGTATATTCCTTCAGGAGTCACTTTCAGAGGGAAGTGTTAAAAGTACATTTGACAGTTGTTAAGCACTTTTTTTTTCAGTGCCGGGGATCAAACTCGTACATGTTAGGCAAGTGCTGTACCACTGAGTAACATCCCTGTGCCCTGTTAAGCACTTTTTCTTAAGTCTGTGTTGTAAACATTATAAAGGCAGAGGTTTTTGTTGTTTTTTTAGATTGTTGTAAACTACACAGAAAATAAAATTTCCCATTTTTAAGTGTATAGTAGGGTTGAGTACATTTATGTTGTTGTGCAGTCAGTTGCCAGAACTCTTTTCATCTTCCAAAACTGAAACTGTATACAAACTAAACAACAGCTCCCTAGTTCCCCCTTCTTCCAACCCCTAGCAACCACCATTCTTTCTGTAGGAGTTTAACTATTCTAGGTACCTCATCTTAATATTGTGTCTTTTTGTGACTACCTTACTTCACTTAGCATAATATCCTTGAAGTTTATCCATGTCATAGTTTGTGTCAGAATTTTCTTTTTTAAGGGTGAACAATATTACATTTCATTTATCCCATTCATTCTTTGTGTGTGTGTGTGTGTGTGTGTGTTTTGGTTATTTTTTTCATACAGAGTCTCGCTATGCAGCCTAGACTGTAAATGAACTTGCTATGTAGCCCAGACTCTTTAAATTTGCTCTGTAGTGCCGCTTGGCTTTGAACATACTGTAACCCAACTGGCCTTGGACTCATGATCCTCTTGCCTCCAACACCATGCCCAGTTACTCCATTCATTCTTTGATGGACACTTGGGTTGCTTCTACCTCTTAATTATTGTGAAGATAGTACTGCTGTGAACATGCTTCAGCAAACATCTCTTCAAGACCCTAGTTTTGCACAGGTGCAGTGGCTCACGTCTATAATCCCAGTTCCTTGGGAGGTAGATAGCAGGAAGATCTTGGTTCAAGGCCAGCATGGGCAAAAAGTTAGCGAAATTCCCCCATCTCAACAAATAAACTCAGGCATTGTGGTGTATACCTTGTAATTCCAGCCACAAGGGATGAATAACTAGGAGGGGTTTCAGTCCAGGACCAGCCCAAGCAAAAAACATAAGACCCATCTGAAAAAATAACTAAAGCAAAAAGGGCTGGAGGTATGGTTCAAGTGGTAGAGTGCTTGCCTAGCAAGCACAGGACCCTGGTTTAAATCCCAGTACCACCCCCACAAACAAACAAAAAACTCTGGTTTTAATTCTTTTGGTTATATACTAGAAGTGGAATTGCTGGATCATATAATAATTCTTTTTTGTTTTGTTCTGTTTTGGTGGAAGGAATTGAACTCAGAGCCTTGTGCATGCCAAGCACACACTCTGCCACTGAGCCCTCTATTTTTCTTTTCCTTTTTTTGGTGGGACTGGAGTTTGGACTCAGGGCTTCACGCTTGCAAGGCAGATGCTCTACCACTTGACTCACACCTCCAGTCCATTTTGCTCTGTTATTTTGGAGATAGGGTCTCTCAAACTATGTGCCTGGGTTGGCAAACCTTGATCCTCCCCATCTCAGCCTCCCAAATAGCTGGGATTACAGATTTTAGCCACAGCAACCAGCTATTTTCTATTTTTTTGTGGAACCAATAGTCACTGTTTTCCATAGCATCTATCACATCATGATTCCTATTAACAATGCACAGGCATTCCCATTTCTCCATAGCCTGGCCTACACTTGTTATTTTTCTCTTTTTGTATCTTAACAGGTATAAGATAGTATCCATTCTGTGTTTTGTGCTGCAGATTAAACCCAGGGCCTCACACATGTGAGGCCAGCACTCTACCTCTGAGTTATACCATGGGCTGTTCTCCTTCGTTTTTATTTGGTTTGCATTTTCCTAGTAATTAGTGCTGTTGAGGCAGAGGTCCTGCTTGTGGGATTCTGTTTGTAACATGTTCTAAAATAGACTGCTCTGTAAGTTTGCACTAAGATAGTTTGAGAAATCTATTGATTTTATCTTCACTTTATCTTCAATATGCTGTAAGCATAACAAAGTCAACTCAAAGAACTTTAAAGTCCTTAAGTTGCAGAGGTGTCACTTATCTTTCAAACTGAAGAGTGACTTTTTGGTTTTGTGCCCTACAGGGTAGGTTATCTAGCAGGATGTCTAGTTCGTGCACTGTGTGAAAAGCAACCAGAGCTGCAGATAAGCGAGCGAGATATGCTCTGTGTTCAGATAGCGGGGCTTTGCCATGATCTCGGTAAGCTGCACAAAGAGCCACAATTGTTATGTGAAATCGTAACATATGTCACTTCACTTTGAGATTTAAAACTCAGACTAACGAAAGAAACATCTAAGTTGTGTTTTAATTTGTTAATGACATTAATATAAAATGTGACAGTGCTTCTTCCTATAATGATTCATAAACACAGAACATTGCTTTTTACTTTCTTCTAGTATTTCAGTGAATTTCTCATGTTAAACTTTGCTATAAGTTATATGAAAGGGCTTTCTTTTTTGGCAGTACTGGGGTTTGAACTAAGGGTTTGCCTTTGGTAGACAGGTGCTCTACAGCTTGAGCCATGCCTCTATCCCTGAAAGGGCTTTGATAGTGAGTTTTTCTTACTACTGTATTTAGGAGATGTGGATTTGATTTTTCTATTTGATTTTGCAGTGCTGAGGATCTAATTCAGGGCCTCACACTTCTTAGATCAGAGCTTTACCAGAGCCACACCCTTCTCATCAACCAACATTGCCATTTTTCTTTTACTTCCTTGGTCAAATCCTTTCTTCTCATACCTAGAACAGATTTAGAGAATTCTTTTTCTTCCCTGATCCACATGAAGTCTTGGGCCATTTAAATTCAAATTCAAGTAGAAGAGTCAGCTGAGGTAGCTCACAGCTACTTGGGAGGCAGAAATCAGTAGGATTATAGTTCAAGACCAACCCAACGCCCCACTCCCCCCAAAAAATAGTGAGACCCCATGTCAACAAATAAGCTGGGTGTGGTGCTGTGCATCTGTAACCCCAGCTATGTGGAAGGTATAGGTAAGAAGATTGAGCTCCACATCTGGCCAAACCCTTTCTCAAAAAAAACCAAAACCATTTCTCAAAAAAACCCATCACAAAAAACGGCTGGGAGCATGGCTCAAGTGGTAGAGTTTCTGCTTAATAAGCACAAGATCCTGAGTTCAAGCCTCAATACTGCTCCCCCACAAAGTAAGTAAGTAAATAAATAAATAAATAAAATTCAAGGATAATAATATTGTCCTTTTCCTTTGACAAAGAGAAAGGGACTGTCTCTGACCTCTTTATTAATCACAGAAGAGTGTTTCAATAGCTAGATACTTAAAGAATAGTGCAGGCTACCTCTTTGTTCCCCAGACATTTTGGTAGGACCAATACCACTTCTTAGGTGATTATTTTTTTTATTAATTTATTTTTGTGTGTATGAGAAGGGATCAAACCCAGGGTGTCGTATATCCAAAGTGCTGGCTCTACCACTAAGCTACACCCCCAGGTCTAAATAAATAAATTTTGATTTTTATTGTGAAAAAAACCCATAGCATTCCTTTTAGTTAACACAAAACTGTCCTTTCATCAAATTTATGTAAGCTCTGGTGACTGAAGACTTCCCTAAGGAGGTTTCCTATATGATTTTGCCTCTTATTTTATTGTTTTAGAAAATAGGAAGAACAAATTAGTTCCATTTTGTGATTTATTTATAGATTATTAGTTTAAATTAAAAACATTTTAAAACAATTCAGTTTTTTAACAGTTTACAAACATTTTTCTTGTTCTAAGGCTGCTCTTGTTTTTAAGGTCATGGGCCATTTTCTCATATGTTTGATGGAAGATTTATCCCACTTGCTCGCCCAGAAGTGAAGTGGACGGTATGTATTTATACATTCCATAGTCAGTAGGAAGAAATCACCATTTAAGTAGGTGATTCAGTTAAAATATCTGTTTAGTTCCCTGCTGTGGAACTTTCTCATTACGGTTCTCAGGGTGCTTTCATTGCTGTATATGTATATGTGTATATACATATAGTTATTGTGCATGTATACATGTATATGTGTTTCACTTGTTTGACAGTAGTCTATAAAGAAGAAATTCATTATCTCTCTTTTTATAAGTAAAGGAACTTGAATCTTTCAGAAGTATATTGATGTGCCAAAACAAAGCTATTAAATGACGGAGCCAGTACTAGAAAACCAGCTTTCCTCCTTGTCAATTTAATATTCTTTCTACTCAGTCACACTACTGTAAAATAAAACAATTAATGGCCATCTCCAGTTTTTGTTCATTTGGTATGACCATGAAATAGCTGATAGCAGCCAAGTGTCATCCTGCATATTAAGTGAACCATATTATAATTAGGCATTTGCAGGTGGCTAACCTATATTTTTTTAATCAGTTTTTTAGAAGTAAAGTTAGGTTAGCCTTCCATTTCCTTTCTTTCTTTTTTTTTTTTTCCAGTACTGGGGCTTGAACTCAGGGCCTTCACCTTGAGCTACTCCACCATCCCTATTTTTGTGAAGGGTTTTTCGAGATAGGGTCTCATGAATTATCAGTCCAGGCTAGCTTCGAACCGTGATCCTCCTGATCTCTGCCTCCTGAGTAGGATTACAGGCATGAACCACTGGCACCCGGCTCACTCTTTTTTCTTTTTTTAAACTGTGCTAGGGATTGAACCCAGGGTCTTGTGCACGTTAGGTAAGTGCTATACCACTGAACCACATCCTCAGCGCTGGCCTCCCAGTTTCTACCACACGGTATATCTGGAACCTGGAGAAGAAAAGGAGAGTAATATATATTGAAAGCTTCTTACATGTCAACCTCTATTTTTTCTCTCCTCCTTCCCCTTTTTTTGAAATATAATTCAGATATAATATATTGTACAGTTCTAAAGTGAATTTTGACAAATGTACCATGACATTCAGTTAGGATATAGAACATTTTCATTTTTTTTGGAAAATTCCCTCCCACCCATTTTTGTGTGATGCTGAGATGTGCTCTGCTACTTAGCTACACCTCCACACTTTCCCTCTGCCTCTTTTTAGTCAATTCTCACTCCTCATCCACCATCACCTTCTGATTTTCATAGGCAGAGGTTAGTTTTGTCTGTTCTTAGACCTGATAGAATCAGAGAGTAGGGACTCTTTTGTATCTTACTACTCAACATGTTGGCTTTGAGATTTGTCCATGCTATCAGCATCAGAAGCTGATCTCTTTTGGTGAGGTAGCATTCCACATAATGAATAAGTCACACTTTGTCCTTTTTCCTTTTGTTGGAATTTGGTTTATTTGCCATGTTTGGCTATTATATATATAAAGTTGCTATGTGTGTTATTGTACAAGAATTTTGTGAAAATTTTTTTTTCATGTCTCTTAGGTAAAAATACCTGGGACTAGAATGCATGTCTAAGTTTATAAGAAACTACTACACAGTCTTGCCAACATTTCGTCTTATGTTTAATTTATTAATTAACTTATTTTATGTATGTATGGTGCTGGGGACCAAATCCAGGGCCTTGTGTGTTAAAGCAAGCACTCTGCCACTGAGCTCTACCCCAGCCCTGACATTTTATCTTTTAGAGTAGCCCTCTGAATGTCAGTGGTACCTCAGGGGTTCAGTTTGTATTCCATGTCCTGTAGTTTGTATTGAACTTGTTGTTGATATATCTTTTATATGTATATGTGAGGAATTCTTCTAATGTTTTACCAATTTGAAAAAATTGGTTAGGGTTCTGGGGGTGTGGCTCGCTGGTAGATTGCTTGCCTAGCAGGTGAGGCTCTAGGTTCGATCCCCAGCACCACAAAAAAAGAAAAAAAAGGAATTTTTTCTTTTGATTTTTTTTTTTGCCCATTTATTATTGTAGAAATTTATAGATAGAGATATAGTAAGATATATGCATTGTGAATTTTCCCCTAGATTGGGCTTGCAAATTCATTTTTTAATGACTTTGAAAAACAAGTTTTTAATTTTGAAGAAGTAAGTATTCTGATTCTTCAGGCCAGTAAAATGGACAGTCTTTCACCTGTTTTATTGCTTTGGGGTCCGCCCTCAGGTTAAGAGCCATAAAACTGGAATATTGCATGGAGTCTTTCTCATCCAAGTGTTGACTTTCCTCTAACAGCTGTTTGCTTTTGGCTGTTGTTCATTACCTTCTATTTCTCCAGATATAATTGTTTTCTCCAAAAGGGTTGATCTAATAGAATCTACTTGGCTGTTATCAAGTCTTTTTTTCTTTTCTTTTTTGTATTGCTGGGGATTGAACGCAGGGCCTTGTGTGTGCTAGGCAACTGCTCTACCATTGAGCTACATCTCCAACCTTAAAAAAAAATTTTTCCCTTTCACATTTAAGACCTTAGCTCATGTGGAATTATTATTATTATTATTACTATTATTTTGGCATCCTGAGGTTTTTTAACTTAGGGGCTCATGATTGCTAGGAAGGTACTCTACCACTTGAGCCACTCCGCCTTTTTTGCGTTGGGCATTTTTAAGATAGGGTCTCAATTTTTGCTTGGACTGGCCTTGTTCCTTAATCCTCCTGATCTCTGCCTCCCAAGTAGCTAGGATTACAGGCATGAACCACTGGCACCCAACTGGAATTAATTAATTTTTGTGTATGTAAATAGTAGAAATCTAATTTCTCTCTTCTCCTTTTTTTAATATGGGTAATTAAATGGTTGGGTTTTTTTTTTGGTTTGGGTTTTGGTTTTTTTAGCAGTGCTGGGGATTGAACCCAGGGCCTTACACATGCTAGGCAACCATTCTACCACTGAGTTACAGCTCCAGCCCAGCAGGGATAATTTTTTATTGAATAGTTCATCCTTTCTATTGTACCACTGACCTATTGTACAACTCCAGCATTTTTTATTTTTTATTTTTTTATTATTCATATGTGCATACAATGCTTGGGTCATTTCTCCCCCCTGCCTCCACCCCCTCTCTTACCATCCACCCTGTCCCCTCCCTCTCCCCGCCACCTCCTCGATACCTGACAGAAACTATTTTGCCCTTATCTCTAATTTTGTTGAAGAAAGCAACTCCAGCATTTTTAAACTTCCCATATATGATGAATCTTTCTAGATTCTATACCATTCCACACTTTCTTAACTGTTATTATTCTGTAATAAATCTCTGTACTTAGAAGTACAACTGTTCACACCATTTCACACAATAGTGTCTTTGGCCCTTTGCTTTCCCATTATGAAATTTGCAATTTTCTCCTAGAAAGTCTTATATATATCCTTTGTTGTATTTACTCCTAAGTTTCTTATAATTTATTTTGGTTTTTCATTAACTATGCTACTTTTATGAAACTTAAATTTTTTGGTACTAAAACATTTATAAGCCATTGACTTATGTATTTGAAACTACTATTTCACTAAGCCCTTATTTATTTTAAAAACTTTGTCAATTTTTTATTTATTTATTTATTTTTGTTGTTGTTTTGTTCTTTCAGAACAGAGTCTTGCTATATAGCCTAGGCTGGCCTCAAACTCACAATCCTCTGTAGATTCTTTTCAGTTTTCACTGTAGGTCAATATCTGCATATACTAGTATTAAAGTGTTTTTCTTCTTTTCGAATACTCGTGACATGTATTTACTTATTGCTTTTCCATACTTTTTGGACTTCCAGTAAAATGTCAAGTAGAAGAGAATATTAGATAATTTTATTTTATTGTTAGTTTTAAGGATAATACTTTTTCAACTATTAATTCGGTTTTATAAGCATTCTATTTTCACATAGAAAACTGAATTATTATCACAGAAAATAATTCTCATAAACCCAGTTTTGCCACATGTTAATGTTTTGCTGTGTTTATTTTAACATACTTTTTTTTTGACAGTACTGAGGTTTGAACTCAGGGCCTTGTGTTTGATAGGCAAGCTCTCTACCAGTTGAGCCATGCCTCTAGCCCTTCTGGCTTTAGTTATTTTTCAGATAGGGTCTTGTGCTTTTTGCATCTGAGATTTTAATCCACCTACCTATGGCCTCCCGCATAGCTGCAGTTACCACCACACCCAGCTTGTTTGTTGAGATGGGGGTCTCAGTAACTTTTTGCCCAGGATGGCCTTGAGCAGCAGTCCTCCCTATCTCTGCTTCCCCAGTAAGCTAGGATTACAGTTATGTGCCACCACACCCAGTCTTGATGTGTCCTTTTTTTTTTTTTTTTTTTTTTTTTTGTGGTACTGGGTCTTGAACTCAAGGCCTACACATTGAGCCACTCCACCAGCCCCTTTTCTTTCTTTTTTTTTTTTTTTTGTGATGGGTGTTTTCAAGATAGGGTCTCACAAACTATTTGCCTGGGCTGGCTTCAAACCACAATCCTCCTGTATCTCTGCCTCCTGAGTTGCTAGGATTACAGGCATGAGCCACCAGTGCCCAGCTGATGTGTCGTCCTTCTTAATGTATTGCATCAGAGGCACATAAAATTTATTAAGCCATTACTGGTAATATTAACTTTGATCACTTGATTAAGCCAGCATCTGTCAAATTTCTGTACTGTAAAGATACCATTTTTCCTCTTTGTAATTAATATGTATTTTGATTCAGTGTCCTAGTTCTAGGACCTTTCAGGTTTTGTTTTTCTTCTTGAGTCAGTTTTGTTAAGACCTGGGACAGAGCAGGTGTCTCCAGAGGGTGTTTGACCTATACAGTGATTACAAATGAGTGAGTGATCAGAGGCCTGAGCAAACGGGCCCATTGGAAGCTTCAACCCCAATCTGGACTTCAGAGCTCTGAGGAAGGTACTTGGCTCTATTGGGAAGATTGTGGTTACCCCTGTCACCACTAGATGGCAGTGCAGGCAGAGCTTTTAACTGCATGTTCCAACACTGAAGGAAAAAAACAGAACTAGATTTTAAAGTGATATTTGTTTAAGTGGAATCTTACCTGTATGACCTAGTAATATTCTTCTGGGTACCATAAATGATTATATCCTATAAAATTTATTTTATGTATTTATTTATGAAATAATGAGCATGGTTTGTAAAAATGTGGTAGACTGGGAAAATATCAACAAAATTTGACAGGTTTTAAAAACTGTCAAACTACAGTTGGAAACTAGGTAATTAACATTCAGCAAAACCCTATCTCTGAATTACCTAGAATCAAAAATAAGTTGCATGCAGGGTCCTGATGGGCTAGAGTCTGTAACAGGCCATATTGTCCTGACTTCTCCTAGCACGAACAGGGCTCAGTCCACATGTTTGAGCATCTCGTTAATTCTAATGGACTCAAGGATGTCATGGAGCACTATGGTCTTGTCCCCGAGGAAGACATTTGCTTTATCAAGGAACAAATTACAGGACCACTTGATTCACCAACCAAAGACTCTTCGGTAAGTTTGCTTTCATTCAAATTTGAACTGACTAGTGCTTTTCATTTCATCTAGTCCTTATAGCTACACATTTGTCTATTTTGTAAGGGCTAACTGACAAAATAAAAGTTGTGTATTTCTACCTTCTAATGCAAAAAAAAATTTTTTTAAATACTTTCCCCATGTCTTAACCAGTTCTCTAGACATTACCTCCCCAAATGTTGGTGCACATCTATAAGCCCAGCACTTGGGAGGCAGAGGCAGAAGGATCCATACATAAAAGTAACCATCTTTTGTTTGGTTTTGTTTTCTGTAATTCTGGCTACTTGGGAGGCTGAGATCAGATGGATCAAGATTCAAGGCTAGCCTGGGCAAATAGTTTGTGAGACTGCATCTCCAAAATAACCAGATCAAAATGGATTGGAGGTGTGGCTCAGTCAGTAAAGTGCCGGCTTTGCCAGGGCAAAGCCCTAAGTTCAAACCCCAGTACCACCAAAAAAGAATAAAAAAGAAATTGAAAAATAATTTCCTCTGAGATTTTTAGGGTTTTTTCCCCTTAAATGCATATTAATCTGGTTGTAAGATATAAAATAAAGAGGTGGATTTTGCAGTAAATACCCTAACTGAAAAAAGAAATCAAGTTCCAAAAATGCTATGAATAGTGATGTTATTTAGACTGAATATGTAGCTACTTTTAAAGATACTAGTGATTCTTTTGTTTGTTTTTTCTTGTTTTGTTTGTTTTTGAGGCAGAGTCTTGCTCTGTACCCTGGTTGGCCAGGAACACACTATGTAGTCCACACTGGCCTCTAACTTGCCATCCTCCTGCTTCAGCCTCCCAAGTGCTGGGATTACAGGTGTACATCACTATCCCCAGTGAAAGACAGTATTATTTTATAGCATTTATTCAAGTGTTATCATTTAACAAGCATTTTTACCAGTTCATAATTAAATACTGTATTTTCAAAAGCTTTTAAGCCAAGAAACAACAAAGTTGTTGATTGTGGGAAATGTAATATTGTTAGGATTCTTTCAATGGCACTTGAAGAGTTTGCATTTTATTTATGTACTATTTATTTATTTATGTGTTATTGTGGTAATGGGGATTGAACCCAGGTCCTTGCACATACTAAGCATACACTGTACCAGCTACATCCCCAGCTGGAAGGTTTAATGTTAATAGGTTATCATATATGTTGGCATTTCTTCTTCCTTTCTACTGTATAAGAATCAAGTGGAAAAAGAAAAAGTAAAATGTTCTAATTTATTTCTTATTCCCAATTAAGTATCTGTTCATAATTTGCAGATTAATGTAAATTGTTTTGCTTGAAATGGATTTAGTGTTTATCCTCAAACTTTTGATGGGTTTTCTTGTCTTCCAGTGGCCATATAAAGGACGTCCTAAAGAGAAGAGCTTCCTTTATGAGATAGTGGCTAATAAAAGAAATGGCATTGATGTGGATAAATGGGATTATTTTGCCAGGTATGCACAGAACACCTCAGAAAACTTGGTCCAAGTCTTTGTATAAGCTTAGTGTTAGTATTCAGGTTCAGTTTCCTTGTTGAAAAATTCCATCTCTCTGCTGTGGGATTTTCTAGGGACTGCCATCATCTTGGAATCCAAAATAATTTTGACTACAAGCGTTTTATTAAGTTTGCCCGTGTCTGTGAAGTGGGAAATAGGAAACATATTTGCACTAGAGAAAAGGTAAGCTACATGAGAGGAAACTAGAGGAGTATAATTCCTGGTCTGAACTACTGCAGTTGGAAAAAGTGGTAAATTGTTGATCTCTTTTCATAATGCTTAGCATTTGTCAAGTTTCTTAAGGCTCTTTTCACTTCTACTGCATTGTTAAATAGTTACAGTAAAATTTAATTCAACATCTATTATGTCTTGTGCTGGGCACTGTTTTATGTGCTTCAATCCTTACAATCCTATGAGTTAGAAACTAATTATTCCATTTGTCTTAAGTCTGTTTTCTTTTGCTATATCAAAATACCTGAGCCTGGGTAATTTATAAAGTCAGAGGTTTATTCAGCTTACAATTCTGGAGGCCCAAGAGCTTGGCACTAGTATCTACTCAGCTTCCGGTAAGAATCACGTGCTGCTCCATGCATAGTGGAAAACCAGACAAACAATAGGTACATGCTAAAGAGAAGGAAGAGAAGTGCCAGGCTAGCTTTGTAACAACCTGTTGTCATGTTAACTTATTCATTCTTACAGGAACTACACTCATGAGGGTGTCACCCTTCATGAGGGTAGAGCCCCATAACCTGATACGTCTTAAAGGTCCCACCATCTTTCATTAATGTTACTTTGGTGATTTTATTTTAACATGAGTTTTGGTGGGGACAGACAATAGCACCATTTAACATGTGAGCAAACTGAGGCACAGAGAACAGATACAATTAACAACCGACAGCTGGAGTTTCACCCCCATTGGGTTCTTGCTAGATGAGTCATGTAACTCAAGAACAGCATAGTATTATACTGTAGAAAGTCTGTCAATAATGAAGACATAAGAATAACAATACCTACTTCGTAGAGTTATTGAGAAGTTTAAAAGATATACTTGAGATGCCTAAAACAACCTGTGAACTGGAGATAGCGCAGTGGTAGAGTATGTGCTTAGCATGTGTGAGCCCCTGGGTTCAATCCCTAGCACCCCTCCCCACACATAAACCTAAAAAAGCAAAACCTATCCCAAAGTTAGAACATGCAGTAGATTTTACTAAGAATGAAAGTTGCATGCCAATAAATAGCTTTACCCCATTTTTTTGTGGCCTCAGGGATTTTAATAAAATAACCCCTTCCTATAGCCCTCTTGTCTGCTGTCATTCTTTTTTCTGTCTTATATGCTTGTCTCCTAACAAGGTTAAGACAGTCTGACGGTGCGTTATACCTGTTTCCTTTTCCTGCAGGAGGTTGGAAACCTGTATGACATGTTCCACACTCGCAACTGTCTGCACCGCAGAGCCTATCAGCACAAGGTTGGCAACATCATCGACACGATGTAAGAAGTTCCATTGCTTCCCCGCGAGCGTTTCTGCAGTGCTGGCCAGATTATCACATTTGGCCCAAATGGAGATTTCTAGATAAATTCAAGTAAATTTTAAATGAGTAATCTACAGTGGTACCTTAAACAAACAAAAATCTAGCATCTTAGTTGGAGGAAGAGGAAGGAAATGGGTAAGGAATAGGGTAAATGAGGAAAGAGAAGCCAGATTAGGCTAGACATAAAAAGGCAAAGCTTAAGTGGCCCAGGACCTCTGCACAGGTAGTTTACTTAAGTACAAAGGTAGTGAGAGGTAGGACTTGAACCACAGACATTTTGAAATTAATAACAAAAATTGATCTTGAGAGTTAAGATTGACTGTCCTTATCCTGTCAAATATTTGTCAAAAAATAGTAGCAAATTGTAAAACCAATAGGAATGCCACTTCTTTTTCCCTACTCCAAAGTATAGTAAAAAAGTACAGCAGTCTGAGAGAGTCCATGATGAGTTTTGACTCCAATCAAAAAATGAGAGTGAAACTATGTATCATGGCTCAAGCCTGTAATTCAAACTACTTGGGAGGTAGGGATCAGTAGGATTGTAGTTTGAGGCCAACCAGGGCAAAAAGTTCATGAGAGACCCATCTCAACCAATGGCTGAGTATAGTGGTGTGTGCCTGTCATCACAGCTAGGCAAAGAAGCTCAGATTGGAGGATCACAGTCCAAGCCATTCTGGGTGTAAAGTGAAACCCTATCTCAAAATAACTAATGCAAAAAAAAAAAAAAAAAGAGTGAGGAGACTGGTTCAAGTTGTAGAGCACTGCCTAGCAAACATGAGGCCCTGAATTCAACCCCTAGCACCACCATTAAAAAAAAAAAAAAATTGAGTCAGTTAATTCAATTAAATGTCTCTAAAATGGCTTTAATTTTATTATTAACCTTTTGTGTTCAATTTTATATTTGTGTTGTGGAGGAAATTTACTTTCATTTGTTTTTTTTAATATATCCTTTATCATGAACAGATTAATTAGAAGGTATCATCTTAGTATGATTGATATCTTGGTAAATTTGTTTTTAAATCAGGAGTCAAAGAGGTCTAAGTTCAAAGCCTAGCACTGCTTGCTTAAAGGAAAATTGTATTATTTCATCATTTGTAAAATTGGAGCTGCCTACAGTTACCTTATTGTTGGAAAAAATAAATAAGATAATGTATCTGAAACCATGCCATCGCACCTGGAGCTACCTAAGCATGGAAGCTACAGGTCACCATGCACTTATTCAACACAATCAAGAAGCAGGTGTCTTTCGGACGTCATACCTCAAGATTTTATTTTCCTAAAGCAGGAAGACCCTTTTACATAGGACGTAAAGCAAACATTCACAAAATAACCTTTAGGATTACAGATGCCTTCCTCAAAGCAGACCCCTACATAGAAATCCAAGGTGCTGAAGGGAAAAAGTATCGAATTTCTACAGCAATCGACGACATGGAAGCCTTCACTAAGCTCACAGGTGAGAATGAGGTCACATGGATAGTCCATTTTAGATATGGTGAAGGGTGTCCCTGGATTGCAGGTGGCTGACTTTCCAAAAAGTATTTTAGCTTTCTGAACAATCGTATAAAGGTGACCTTGGTAAAGTGAGTTAACCTCTCTGACCTTACTTTCCTCATGTTTAGAAAAGCATGTATGTAGCATATAGTTGTATTTTGATGCTTAAATGAAGTACAGTGCCTAATACAGACTTGGCATGTATTCAGTACTCACTATTATTTAATTTATAACACAACTAAACTAATACTATAAAAAAAATTAGCATCATTTTCACTGGAAGACATAGGATGCTGAGAACATCTTACATACTTCTGCAGAAACAGGGTGAGAAGGAGGAGAATGAAGGCCTGGCAGCTGGTTCTTCCAACCAGGAAAGTGTAGACTGAGAAATAAAGATCAGAAAAGCAAAGGGAAATAGGACAAAAAGGATAGACCAGTTCTTAGTTGCAAATCATGAAACTGTTTAACTAAAAATGTAATTAGAAAGCAATCACACAGTACACAGAACTTCAGTGGACAGGCTGAAGCTCTAAAAATCGGCAAAGGCAACAGAGGCCAAGTGGGTGAGATACACCAGATCATACCACACCACACCATACCACAGCAGCTTCCTGCCTCATACTGCTCAAGGTCCTACACAGCTAGCTTCTGTTTGTGGCACCCTGCTAGAAACCTGAACAGATCTTCTCAAACTGTCTTTGAAGAACCAATTTAAAAAATTTCCAGGCTAGGGGCATGGCTCAAGTGGTAGAGTGCCATTGTAGCAAGCACAAAGCCCTTAGTTCAAACCCCAATACTGCCAAAAAAAAAAAAAATTCCAACCCCATGTAGATTGTAAAATAGGACAAAATTGAACTACTAGCAAGGGATATACCTTGGTGGTAGAGCACTTGCCCTGGATCAGCTCCCCAACATCACAAAGGGGAAAAAAAGTAAAATTACTAGAGAAATGAAACTGGGGGAGGGAAGACACAAAATATAAAGCCCAAATTTTCTTATTTAACTTGTCAGACTTAACATTACACATCAATAAATATAATGAGAAGAAATAGAGAAAATTTTTAAATTACAAAAACTGTACCTATTATTCCTTTTTCCCCCTCTTTGGTGCTAAGAATTGAACCCAGGGCTTTGCCTATTCTAGACAAGTGTTCTACCTCTGAGATACATCCTTAGCCCCATGTTGTTCCTTACAAATAGCTAGCCAGCATATCAGCAGTGCTCTCTATAGATTGAATCAATCACAGATCAAAAATATTCTGTGGTTACTCGCTAAACAATACAGTATAACTATTTGTATAGCATTTTCACTTTATTAGCTATAAGTAATTTCAGGATGATTCAAAGTATACAGGAGGATATACACAGGGTATCTTATGTAAGGTATTTGAGCATCCTTAGATTTTGGCAGCAATCCCCCAGAGACACAGGAGGATAAATGTATACATAGCAGGCAGTTAACCTAGAGAAATACTTTGGTAAAAAGGCATGAATTCTGTCTGGGTACCAGTAGCTCACACCCATAATCCTAGCTACTTGTAAAGTTTTTAGCCCTTTTCCAATCATAACTAAGCCAGAAATTAGAAGTGAAATAGTGATTCTTCATAGTAAATATCTTTATGTGCACTGTATAAGGTTTATAATGTGACCCCTGAATTTGTTCCTTGCTTGTTAATTTGTCTAATCTAGGTTGGATTGATGACAAAGTAACTAGCAGTAGATAATATATATCTGAGTTGTTGCTATGTTTGTTTTAGTAACAAAGTAGATAAGCTAGTCTCATCATTATGTTAATGGAAATGGATTTTTTTGTTGTTTTTGTGGGAGTGGGGTTTGAATTTAGGACTTTGCACTTGCAAAGCAGGTGCTCTATCTTTGAGCCATACTCCAATCCTGCTGATAGAAATGGAAAAGGAGATTTTAAATCATTTTGAGCAATCTGGGGTTATTTATTCTTAACTTTTATTTGTAATGAAGCAAATATTTTGGAAAGTCTTCTTCAATCCTTCATTACAAGCCGGTTTCAGCAATTTATTCAGTTAAGTTATATTTATATTTAAACCATCTTTGGTAAAAAGTAATGAATTCTGTCTGGATACCAGTGGCTCACACCTAGCTACTCAGGAGGCAGAGATCAGGAGGATCGCAGTTCAAAGCCAGCCCAGGCAAATAGTTCCTGAGATGCTATCTCAAAAAAACTCATCACAAAAAAGGGCTGGTAGAGTGGCTCAAGGCGTAGACCCTGGGTTCAAACCCCAGTACCATAAAAAAAAAAGAAGAAAAAAAAGACATGAATTCTGGATTATAAATGCTTGGTCGACTGACAAACTAACATACATTCTAATGTGGATACTACATGCAGAGCTCACATTGCTCTTGCTCACAGTGAAGGTTCCATACACCTAAATTATCTGTTGTCCTGTGGGGGAGACCCACTTGGACATTGTAGCAATGTTGAAGTCATCCACTTGACTACTGTAGAAGGTGAAGCTGCTGAAAGAGGTTTCAGTGCTTCCCGTCCATGAATATACTGCCCTCTCAGGTTACTTAGAAGTTTTTAGACAAGCATGTCCTACATACCCCAGTTTGATACCACTTATCTAAATTCTCCTCGAATCATTTGCTGTAGGTAAAAAAATCCCAGACAAGAGATTGGGCACATATTTGTTCTCTGTTAGAGTGTGGGAGAACAAACATGGCCTTTCCCACTTTTGTCATTTGATACAGGGACAATCTTAACTTTTCTTGCATATTATTCTGAGCAGTATTATAATCCTTATTGTCCTTAACTATATGACCTTGACGGAATAGGACCAGGAGGGCCTTAATTACTTTTGCAGCTTTCCTAAAAGTCAGCTCATATTATTTCAACTTCCAGCCAGGCACAGTGGCTCACACTGTAGTCTCAGCTACACAGGAGGCAGAGGTAGAGAGGATCAAGTTCAAGGCTGGCCTAGGCAAAAAGCAAGACGCCATCTCAACCAATAAGCCAGGCATTGTTCATTGAGCTTTTGGTCCCAGCTGCAAGAGGCATCGGTAGGAGGATCATAGTCTAGGCAGGCCCCAGGCAAAAACAAAAGATCCTGTCTAAAAAATCATCCAAAGCAAAACGTGCTGAAGGTGTGGCTCAAGTGATACAGCACTTGCCTAGCAAAAACAAGGCCCTGAGTTCAAACCCCAGTATCACCAAAAAAGAAAAGAAAAGAAACGCCTTAACTTCCTATTTTTTTGAAATTTTCTTTCACATTTTTAAGGAAGTACTGAAAACATACAGCAATGTTGAAAAATTTTACAATGAACACCTATGCATGCACCATCTAAACGTAGTATTTACTGAATTTGCTTTATCATGTGTCTGTCACTTAACATCCCCTATCCATCTGCTAATCCATTTTATTTTTATGCCTTTCAAAGTCAATTACAAGAACTGGGGGCATGGCTTAAGTGGTAGAGCGCCTGCCTAGCAAGCACAAGGCCCAGAGTTCAAACCCCAGTACTGCCAAAAATTTTTTTTTTGAAAAACCAAAGTAAATTGTCAATATGTTACCCTAAATTCTTCAACATTCATATGAACTAAAGTCCAACAATTGTGTTTTTATTTTCTCTTGTTTTTTCTTTTGATGTAAAATTTGTGTATAATTTGTATGCATGCGTACATCTTGTGTACATTTGCTAGAGTTTTGACAAATACAAGACAGAACATGACCTTCTTGTCAGAAACTCCCTTGTGTTCTTTCCCAAGCTGAGGTAAGCAGCGTGTGCCTGTTGGAGAATTTATATCAGTGGAATCATTCAGTGTGTATTCCTCTGTGGAAGAAGACACATGACACCCCGCTTTGTGTCTTTGAGAGTCATCCAGGTTGTGCCCATTAGTAATTCCTCCTTTTCTATTGCTGATTAGTGGTCATCACATGAAGATACCATAACCTGCCTGTTCTCTGCTTCCTAAATCACTGCTTCTGTTTAATGTTTCTGGATGTAGATATGTTTTTTTGTTGGTTTTTTGTTTTGTTTTGTTTTTTTTGCAGTGCTGGAGGTTGAACCTCGGCCTGGCACATGAGAGTCAAGTGCTCTATCACTGAGCCCTAAATATATTGTCTTTCTTTTTTTTTTTTTGGTGGTACTGGGATTTAAACTCAAGCACACTACCTCTTGAGCCACCCCTACCTCCAACCTCTATAGCTATTTTAAGCATTGCAATTGTTATGACCACTAATTTAGGTTATCAGGTAATCAATCTCCCTCTGTGTGCCTACCCATCCCCAGCTCCACAGTCATCAGTCCTGTTGCAGTTTTATTTCATCTCTCTCCTTCCCCATGTACTGGATTACCTTGAAGGAAATTCATGATGTTGACGGACCATTTTTTAAAAGGTTTACTTCTATTAAAAAAATTCACATTGCGGGGGTGGGGAGGTGGCCCAAATAATGTAAATAAATGTAAAAATGATAAAATAAAATTGAAAAAAAATCCACATTGCTAAAATCATAATGTACCCAGATTTGTGAAACTGCTTCTCAAAACCATTTCAGGAGTATAGCAATGTATATGTCTTTAAGTCTTGTGTTTTCATTTTAATATAACTGAAATTTTGTCAAATTGGCAGATAACATTTTTCTGGAGATTTTGTATTCTACTGATCCCAAACTGAGTGTTGCACAGGAGATTTTAAGAAATATTGAATATCGTAATCTATACAAGTATGTGGGTGAGACCCAGCCAGGGAAGAAAGAAAAGATCCAAAAGGTAAGCTGAGTTACCTGGATCTTCCTGTTAATAAAATGTTACCACAGTCTGTCCTCCAAGAGATCCATTAAGGTCATCACAATACTGTTTATTCCCATCAACCTTCACAGCTCTGGAGTTAGGCCTGCTTCATAGATGAGAAACTGAGGCATAGTCAGCCAGGTCTGACTCCGAACCTCTGCTCTGTCATCCAGGAAGAGGGAGGGACCTCAAATTTTGACTAGATCCAAGTATGGGAAAATGAATAGAAGGGAAAGGGTGTTCCACATGAGGTACCTGTGTGAGCTTCAAGACTCTGAGGACCTGTTTTAACTACAGCTGGCCCTTGAACAATGTTAGGGTTAGGGGCAGTCAAAAATTGGCCTATAACATTTTTTTTTTTTGAATATGTAAGGTTTTTTGTTTTTGAGGTGCAAAATGGAAGGTTCTGGAGGAAAGCAGTCCAAGCCCAACTTACAACATTTGACTCCAAAAACATTTAACTACTAATAGCCTGCTATTGCCCAGAAGCCTTACCCGTAACATGTCAACCCACATTTATTTTGTATGTTGTATGTATTATATATAGTGAACTATACGCAAGACCAAGAGAGATCACTTTTTATTGCGATAAGTAAACTGCACACAGAGGTGGTTAGTTCACAAGTCATTTTGAGTGGGTACTTGCAACACTTGAACTCAACACAACAGCAGCAGGAGGTGGGAGGCCAGTTGTGCATTCTGTCCTGTAGTTAACCATTGGCAGTTGCTGTCTCATACTGCATCTCATGTCTGTTCACATTTCTCCCGACTTCAAACGGCATCGTATCAGGTCTATGTTTGGGTCTGTATGTTTTGACAAATTTTAACTTTATGCAGTAGATTATTATGTGTTTATAGTAGTAAATGATAAAATAGATTATTATTTACATATATTTTATACATTTATGGCATACCCAACTTTTTCTTATTTTCCACATTTCTAGTCTATGAGATTGTCTGCAAGTTTTGTCAAATTGTCACATATTAAAAAAAAACTCTCATAAATGGAACTGCACAATTCAAATCTGTGTTGGTCAAGAATTAGCTGTACTTCCTTCCTTCCCAGTCTGTCAGGTTCTCCCAGCTGCCATGTGTCTGTCTTTTCCAATCCAAATAACTGTTTTTGCCTCTGGCTTGTTGAAGATTTCTCTGTTTGCAAGAAATCCATAACACAAATAACCAACACTCTACTTCGTAATAATTTGGGGGGTACACTTTACTTCCTCCTGTTTTACTAATAGGTTAGTGCCTTTTTTCTCTCTCTCTCTCTTTTGAAATGTGAAACTGCTGTTACAAAAATCTCTCTATTGTTTTGAAGGATGGCATAGGCAGGAACAGTATTTTTCTTGGTGAAGAGGGAACCAGTTGGCACAAGTACTTAATGATGAAAAACCAGGATTCTAACATCGTGTGTCTTGTCTTTTCTAGGAAAACTATGAAGGCCTTCCAAAAGAGGTGGCCAATGCTAAACCTAAGGAAATATTACTGGAAGTTGAACTGAAGGCCGAAGATTTCATAGTGGATGTAAGTAGTCAGCCTAAGTATACACTAGGTGAAAATTTTAAGATAAAACCTACCCTCATTATCAAAGTAGTACATGTTCATTATAGAAATTTTGAAAAACATGGAAAGATGAAAGAAAGAAAGAGAGAAAGAGAATTCACCTATGGTCTCATAGGGAGAATCACCATTATTAACCACTTTTTAAACTGTCTTTGTGATGTTTTGCTAATGTTTTTAATATAATTGGTGTTAAATGATCAATAAAGCATTGTACATAGTGTTTTAAAATTTTTTCAGCTACAAAAGTAATGCCAACTAGTTTTTTTTAACTGTGTACATACATACACAATGGGAAACGCTAGGATTTTTTTGTTCTGTCTTCATAGAGGCTGCAGGGGCTTCTTATGCCCTGATGAGAAAGCCAAACAGCTTCTCGTGTTTTCTCCTGTTTTCTATAATGAATTCTTTTTAGAGTCCTACTCCTCTGAAGTCCCAAGACAGTGTTCTCCTTGTATATTTTTCCATAAGCTTCTCTTCTGTTCCCTTCTTGTTAACAAGTCCTTTTGTGAAGAGCATTCTCTCCATGGCCATTCTTTGGTAAAGGCTATAGTAAGTGGATGGCCATTGGGCCCATCTCCTGCTCCCTTGGCTGACTCTGGCGTGCCTGGGATCTACAGATCCAGCTGCAGTTTCCTGTTCAGTAGAGGAGGATCCACTGGAATAAAGGGATCTCTTATTTTGACTTTCTGAGACTCCAAAAGGCTTCTTTCCCCAGCCCCAGCATTTTCCCTGGGTTCCTTTGTGCTTGCCCTGGCCCTTGCTGCTTTACTGGAGGGACCATCTTGACCTCAGTGTAACAGTCAACCCCATTCAATCCCTTACCCTCCCAGCTGCTTTTTCTCTCACTCCAAGTGCAACCTCCAAGTGGATGTAGGATCAGAGGTACTTGAAGAGAATATAGTAGGAGAAAACATACACATGGCAAGTAGACATGAAAAGAAATTTAGCCTTACCAATAATCAAACAAACCCAAGTTGAGCAGCAATGAACATTTTTGTTTGTTTGTTTGTTTGTTTGTTTTTCTGTACTGGGGTTTGAACTCAGGGCCTACACCTTGAGCCACTCCTTCAGCCTGTCTTTTTTTTTTTTTTTGGCGATGGGTTTTTTTTCTGAGATAGGATCTCATGAACTATTTGCCCACAGCTGGCTTCAAATTGCGATCCTCCTGAGTCACTAGGATTACAGACAGGTGTGAGCAACTGGCGCCCAGCTAGAACACTTTTTTTTTCTTAACATCAGACTTACAGGAAAAAAAGTATTACATAATTCTGTGTCGAGGCATGTGAAAATGCAAGTGTAAATTGGTACAAAAGACCAAATTAGAAGTATGTCCCAAAATTGTAATTGACCCAGCAATTTCAGTCTAGGAATTTGTCCTAAGGAGATAATCAGTTTTGCACAAATCACCTTGAAGTGCTTGAAGTTTTTGGTATGTCTCAGTTTTTCTCTCTGCTCCATTTCCTGCCATTATCCTGAGTGACTTCATAGTCCACATGGAGCCAACTCTGACATCTTTATTTTCATCCTGTTACCTTATGCACTTCACCTCAGCCAATGCTCTAGCAGGTTACACCTTAGACTTTTTTGTGTGTGTTATAGGGTCTTCCTGTGTAGCCCAGACTAGCCTGAATTTGGCAATATTCCTACCTCCGCACCCAGCTGTACCTTGGACTTTTATCAATATTTGAAACTACCTTCTCTTTAAAATCACTAATATATGCTAGACACCAGTGGCCCCACCTGTAATCCTAGCTACTCAGGAGGCAGAGATCAGGAGGATCGTGGTTTGAGGCAAATAGTTCTCAAGACCCTATCTCAAAAAAACAAAAAGGGCTGTTGGAGTGGCTCAAGTGGTAGAGTGCCTACCTAACAAGCATGAGGCCCTGAGTTCAAATTCCAGTACTATCACAAAAAAAAAATCACTGATATAGGCATCCTGTTTTCTGTCCACAAACCCCTCTTTATTTGCTTATTCTAGTTTATTGGACCTTATGCTTGCTAAGTAGGTGCTCTACCAATTAAGCCACACCCCAACCCTTTTGGCTTTAGTGATTTTTCAAGTAAGGTCTTGTGTTCATGCCCAGGCCATCCTGGACTATAATCCTCCTATTTATACTTCTTATATAGCTGGGATGACAGGTGCACACCACCACACCCAGCTTTTTATTGGTTGAAATGGGTCGCTTGAACTTTTTGCCTAGGCTAGCCTTGAACTGCAGTCCTCCCAATCTCTGCTTCCTTAGTAGGATTATCTACTTCGTCCGGCTATCTTCTTACTTACAGCTTGTCAGTCCTATCTTTATTTTCCTCATAATCTAATTTAGATTTTGTGATTCAGTAATTCACTTATTTTCTGCACTCACCCTGAACTCCCTTCCCCTTCTTTGCATCTTCCTAGCAAAGGGCCAAATGACATAGATGAATTGAATCTAAGCTTCTTCCTGCATATACCGGGGCTCACACATGCTGCTGGAAACAGTCACTACATGGCTATAAATTCATGGTCACCCACCTCAGCTGAGCCTCTGTACTTTCTGGCAGGCTTAGTACAATTCTCTCAGTCTCCATAATGACTATTTCAAATCATCTTCACTCCTCTCTGGCCTCCATTCCTGTTCCCCAGCCCCAGCTGTATTCATCCTCAGTGAATAACCCAATCATGGCCCTGATTTCAGAGGTAAAATACAGAATTGGGGATGTAGTTCAATGATAGAGTGCTTGTCCAGCAAGTGCAAGGCTTTGGGTTAGATCCCCAGCATCACCAAAAAGAAACTGAGTTCCAGAGATAAAATACATGTAGACCGTTAGGTAAGAACTCCATCAACCTACATCACCACATAAGCCAGGTTGATTCCATCTGCAGGTGTATCCCGCCTTCCTGTTGTGTTCTAGCCACACTGCCTGGGAGAACTTCCTACACTGACAGAAATGGCCTATATCCCTGTGACTGGTGCTATTGAGCACTTAAAATGTGGTCTCTACAACTGAAAAATTGAATTTTTTTATTGCACCCATTATTAAGTAAATTTAAAAGCCTTGCTACCGGTGTGGCTTGCACTTGTACTCCCAGCCAGTAGGGAAGCCAAGGCAGGAAGATTGCTTGAGCCTCGCAACATAGTGAGATTCCCATCTCAAAAACAGACAAATAAATAAGTCACATGTGGTTAGTGCTACCACATTGGGAAGTACAGCGGTGGAGCCCATTCTGTATTGTCTCTTCTGTGAAACCCGACACTAACCGTTCTCTCCTCCTTCCATCAGACTTTCCCATCGGCAGTTACCTAGTCTTTGATCTTAAGAAAATCAGTCTCCACACTGCTCTTCATCCTCTCTTATCCTTCAGGGTCAAACTCATTGAACAGGTGTATCCCCTTACCTTCCTCAGGATCCATATCTCTCTCCAGGTACAGGTTGAGTGTTCCTTATACAAAATACTTGGGACCAGAAGTGTTTCGGATTTCAGAGTTTTTCAGATTTTGGAATATTTGCATAAACTTTATGACATTTTATTAGCACTTTTAATCCAAAATCCTGGAATTGAAAATGCTCCAAAATCCAAAAATTTGAGTATTATGTTGGCACTATAAAAGTTTCAGATTTCAGGACCAGGTGTGGTAGTAGACGCCTATAGTCCCAGCTACTCAAGAGATGTAGGAAGAGCCAGGTGCAAGGACTCATGCCTATAATCCTAGCTAGTCAGGAAGCAAAGATCAGGAGAATCAAAGCCAGTCCCCAGCAATAGTTCATGAGACACTATCTCAAAAAAACCCATCATAAAAAAGGTCTGGTAGAGTTGCTCAGTTAGTAAGAGGGCCTGCCTAGCAAATATGAGGCTCTGAGTTCAACCTGTATTTAAACCTCAGTACCACCAAAAAAAAAGAAAAAAAGAGATGAAGGTAGGAGGATCACAGTTGGTGAACAGCCCAGGCAAAGTCAGCATGAGCCCCTATCTAAAAAGCAAAGTGAAAGCAAAAAGAACTGGGGGCATGGTTCAAGTGGTAGAGTGCTCACCTAGTAAGGATGAAGCTCTGAGTTCAAATCCCAGTACTTCCAAAATAGTAAAAAGAAAAGTTTTAGGTTTGAATTTTCTGTTTAGAGATGCTCAACCTGTACTTCTTGCCTCTTCTTAACAGCCAAACATGTAAGAATTGTATTCTCTTACTTTTTATTACTTGTTTACTCCTGAACCTTCTTCTGTTGCCATTACTATGCAGAGCTACTTTCACCAAGATCACCAGTGACTTCAATGTTGCCAAATCCATCAGGCAGTTCCAAGCCCCTCTGCCTTAGAACTTTTTCTTCTGCCCAGACACCCTTCCTTCCTACCTAGTCCAGGTCAATTCCTGTTCACTTAGTAAAACCATTTTCCCAGGGAAACATTTCCAGTCATTCCTTGGCACCCCAGGCCACCTTAGGTCAATTGTTTGACAGATCAAAGCATGCTTTGCTTTTCCTTGGTAACTTTTTAAACAAATGTGGTTAGATAGGAATTTTGTAATTATTCAACTTCAGTCTGTGGTCTGTGGGCTCCAATTGTATTTACAAATCTGTATTTCTGGTGTCTACCACATTTTAGGTACTGATTCTAAGCCCCACTATGTTGAACAAACAAATTCATTTCCATTTTCCTCCCACCCCCAAGTTTCTAAACCAAAGCCCCATTGATGGCTATGCACTCGGGTTATTTTTATTCCACTATCTGGCAACTTCCTTGTGTTCTTACTTCTGAACCCCCAGAGGGCTGTACTCATTTCTTGTGATGCCCTGAATCACAGTCTGAATCCAGTTCTCATGGTTGTTTTGCATTGCTTTTATTGAGGTTATCAACATGGATTATGGAATGAAAGACAAGAATCCGATTGATCATGTCCACTTCTACTGTAAGAGCGACTCCAGAAAAGCAATCAAGATTAGCAAAGACCAGGTGACTACCTACACAAAACAAGTATATGTTAGTGGAATACATTTGGAAAGCCTTTATAGTAAATTTACATTTTACATGCTGATTAGAATGTAAAGTCAGTGTGTGTGAATTAAACAGAGACATATTTTGGCTAGAGCGTGGTTCAAGTGGTAGAACACTTGTCTAGCAAGCACAAGGCCCTGGGTTCAAACCCTAGTACTGCCAAAAAAAGGGCATATTTTGTCTGGCATGGTGGTACACATCTATAATCCCAGCACTCAGGGTGCTGAGCCTGATAGTGTTTAGTTTAGAGGCTAGGTTACAAATCTGGCGGGAACTGAGTGCTACATGATTGAAGCCCTACAAGTTAAATGGGCTTATTTGCATATCTTCTGTGTGAGAGTCTGTGGGCTGTATATAGTTATATAATATATTCCTTTCAGTCTTTTACTAATTAATACAAAATTGTGAGATATTTTGCAATGTGACAATTATCTTGATTTTTTTCTTTGGATTATGACTGAGATACGATCGGTGCTGGGAACTGAACCAGGGTTTTACCCATGCTAGGTAATGTGGTACTTTTAATACAACATAGACAATGGTGCTTAGGAGCCTGGAGGGCAGTTGGTACCTTCTGATGCATGAATTCAAGGGGATAATGTCATCTTTTCTTTTTTAAAAAGGTTTCACAGCTTCTGCCAGAGAGATTTGCAGAGCAGCTGATTCGTGTATATTGTAAGAAGACAGATGAAAAGAGTTTGTATGCTGCTAGACAGCACTTTGTTCATTGGTGCCTGATCAAAGACTTCACCAAGCCGCAGGTTGGTGTGGCCTCTTACGCACATACTGTGCACATTTTTTAATTCTTAAGGACAAAACAAAAGAGATACTTTCTGTCCCCTGAGTTCGTGTTTCTCTCTCTCTCTCTCTCTCTCTCTTTCTTCCCCCCTCCCCCCCTTTCTCTCTCACTTTGGCTTTCTCTCTTAGGGCCTTTCATTTGAACCATGCCCCCAGCACTTTTTCACTTCCCATGTTGCTAGGATGATAGGCACACACCACTTTTTATTGGTTGAGATGGGGTCTTGAAAACTTTTTGTTCGGACTGGTCTCAAACAATGATCCTCCCAATTTGTACCTCCCAAGTTGCTAGGATTATAGGCATGAGCTGCTGGAGAAGTTCTTATTTAAATTATAGCCATGAGCTTGGGGATTTAGCTCAGTGGCAGAATGTTTGCTTATCGTGCACACAGCCCTGGGTTCAATCCCCAGCAGTACAAAAAACAAATGAATGGATGAATTATAGCCATTTGGTTATGGTTTTAAAACAGTCTTTCACTTTCTTTCCTTTTAAAATCTATGTCAACCAGTGACTTCTTCCTATAGTACTTGGGAGTGAGTTCTCTATCATTATTGTACTACTGATCCAACATGATGGTGAGCATGTGACTAGTGCTTTATAATATTGTCACCAGTTGTCTTGCCCTCACAGTGTCCCTGGGAAGTGAGTCATAGTGTCCCAGTCTTTCAGTTAAGTCCCCAATCTTTTCAGTTAAGCTGAGTAGATAACTTATTTAAGGTCACATTCAACTGATAGCAAGTGTTTTGAGTTTGTTTGTTTTTGTTTTTTTTCCTTTTGGTATTGACGTTTGAACTCAGAACCTACACTTTGAGCAATGCCACCAGTCCTTTTTTGTGAAGGGTTTTTTGAGATAGGGTCTCGTGAAGTATTTGCCATGGCTGGCTTCAAACCTCGATCCTCCTGATCTCTGCCTCCTGAGTAGCTAGGATTGTAGGCATGAGCCATTGGTGCCTGGCTTGATAACGTTTTTGTTGTGTGTTTTTTTTTTTATTATTATTATTTGTTGTTTTTGTGGTGCTGGGCTGGAACCTGGTTATTTGGTATGTCAGTAAACTAAATTCTCTAGAAACAGTGTAGAGGGGCAGCGGTACCAAGCTACATTTGCCAACCCTGTAGGAAATGTTAAAATTGTCCATATTGGCTGCACAGAGAATGGCCATTTGATATGTGTTAACTGACTGACTGACTGAATGCAGTTGGCAGGCAGGTGGGCTACTGCACTTTACTTCCTGGACTTGTCCTTTCCCTTATAGCACAGTTGTCTATGCTCCCCTGTGCCTCAGATGCTAAAGGGAACAAACAAATGGTTAGGAAGTTAGCACATTACTAAGTGTCAGAGGCATGAAACAGGTGGGTTCAGGTAGCTTCCAAGGGCTGGTGAGCTGTGGGGAAAGTCTTGTGAAGAAGGAAAGAGCCGGTCAGGTCAGGCTGAGAAGAGGGAGAGGGATGGACAAGTCTGACAATGGAAGCTGAGCAAGCAAAGGCACAAGGCAAACAATTTGAGAGCAAGAGGACCAGGAGTAGAAAATCCTAATTGTCCAATGGTGAGAGGGAAAGTGGAAGAGTGGACTAGATTATGGAGAACTTTGGCTAATCAGCAATGGAAGAGGACTTTTCTGATGTACGGAATACTTAAAACCTGCCTTTCTTGACACACGTGTGTGTGGTGTGTGTGTGTGTGTGTGTGTGTGTGTGTGTGTGTGTGTAGTGAGACCCATGGAAATAAGGAAGTGTGTGCACCTCAGGAACTATAGCAGTGGAGGAAAACAAACCACTGAAACTCCAGCCATTAGAACTGGGGGAGGCCAGGGCAGAGTGAAGACACTACTAAAGCATGTGCATGTAGTATCAACCACCTTAAATCTAGGCACATTCACTCATTGACTGAGGTTTTGTTTTCTTTTTTTTTGTTTTGTTTTTTTGTTTTTGGGTTTTTTTAATTTATATGTGCATACAATGTTTGGGTCATTTCTCCCTCCTTCCCCCACCCCCTCCCTTACCCCCCTGTTTTTGTTTTGCAGGCCCTGTGTTAGGTACCAGGGATAGAACAGTACCTAAGATGGTCATAGTTCATTAGTCTCAAGGGTCTTACACTAGTGGGGGATAACAGTCACACATGTAAATAACAATTTCAGTAGTGTGGTAAGTGCTTTGGAGTGGGCTGGGTACAGAACCTTAGAGGAGCAAAAAGGAGAGAGATCTTGCCAGACTTCGTTGATTGGGAAAAGCACAAACCTAAAGAAGGACTTAAGCCAGATGTGGTGGCACGTGCCTATATTCTCAGCACTCTGGAGGCTGAGGCAGAAGAATCATGAATTTGATACCGGTCTGGGCACATAATGAGAACCCTGTCTCAAAAAACCAAGGAGGAGCTGGGAATATAGCTCTGTGGTAGAGCGCTTGCCTAGCATGTGCAAGGCCCAGCTTTCATTCCCCAGCACTGCAAAGAAGAAAGAGAGAAGGACTTAGAAGCTGAGAGCTGAAGGATAAGAGAAAGTATCAGCTCTGTAGAGGAAGTCAGTGGGCACAGGAGCTGAGAAGGGCAGCTCCCATAACAAGAGCAGTTCCCATGGTGCTGAGTAGAACACAGATGAAGAGGACCCCAGTGTCCTGCCATAAACATCTATTCTTTGTATAGTAAAGGTTGTCAAAGATCCTGTACCTTCATACAACCAAAGAATTTATCCTCAAGTCCCAGGATGGTTCAAGACAGTCAGGTGTAGGAAGGCCTTGCTGCTGCTGCTCTCTGCTGGCAGATTGATGTGTCACTTTGCTTTGAGGCCAGCTCAGCCCTCATTTTGGGTACAGGAACTCATTTGACTGGATCCAAAGTCAGAGCTCTGATTGCAGAGGAAAATTCAAGTTTAGCTTATGATCCATGAAGGTGTATGGAAGTGGAGATCAGAAACCTGGGCAGCAGTGCACTGTAACCAGTCATCTTTGAAAAGAGGTCTGGTGGCTTTTCCCCTGAAAACCCTTATCTGCTACCACTGTGCCACGCCCCCAGCCCAGGACTATGGTATTTCTAATTCGATCCAAGCTCAGGACATATCTAGTTTGAAGTTTCCCAAAAGTAAGTGTATCTAGAAGCAATCTTATCTGCATAACAAGAGCAGAAATAAAAATGGAAATTGACTTTTCTCCATTCCCTGTTTTTCTCTCTTCCTGATAGGATGGTGATATCGTAGCCCCTCTTATCACACCTCTGAAAAAGGAGTGGAACAACAAGGAGTCAGCCCACAGCCCAACTCGTTTACGAGAAGCCTCCAAATTCAAAACCCAGCTTAAATTTTAAGTGAAATTTGCAAGTGGTTGTTTACAAAAGCTCTCTTAACAATTAAGTTAGGGAGTACCATAGAGTTCCATAAATGTACTAACTAGTGCTTTTGATTTTGTATTGTGAATGTATACACATGCTGAAGGTAAAATGGTTTTTATTCAAAGCAATGGAAAGGTATTAGGTAAATCTTGCTGTACATGCTATGGAAGCATGACCTTGTTTTACATTAATTAAAGCCTCTCTCCCTTAATAATCTATTTTCTTAGAATAATAGCTGTTTTTATCCATTCTGAACTCCTATGACAGTTGATTGTTTTTTTTGTTTTGTTTTGTTTTTAACTTAGAAATTGAGACAAGGGTACAAATTAGAATTCAAAATTGTCACTAACAGACATGGTTGAAAATAAACAAAGTCCTAGCCACCTGAGTCTGGGATAGCACTTTTCAGGTGATCTAAATGCCAGTGAGAGACACCTGTCCTCCCCTCCTGCCTCCATAAGCTGCCAGGTTGGGCATAGAGAAGCAGGTGTGGGCTGGGACTGGGCTTCCACTCTTTGGTGAGAAGTTCTGAGGGCTTCAGGGCTCCGTTTTTTGTTCTTTTTTCCTGGTGCTGGAGATTGAACCCAGGGCCTCTCACATGTTAGGCAAATAAATGCTCTACCATTGAACTATATCCCCAGCCCTGGTGTTCTCTGAAGTGGAGCATAAACTTCCCTTTAGAAGGCCCCAAGGCAAAGGAATGCCTCAAAGTGGGCTTCTCTTTGACTCCCTTGCCCATCCAGACCAATCAGTTCTTCCTTTCCTGAGCCCTCACTGCCCCAGCCCCAGGGCCTCCACTACTGGTCCTGGAGATGAGGTTCCTCCCCTCCCCCAACTCCCCACCCTCTACCCCCCCACACCCCCTGCCTCCCACATCTGTCTGGTGAACCACTCAGAGGTCATCACAGGCACAAGCCTTGGGGCTCTTTGTACCTGGGACTTGATTTTTGCTGCTTCTGTGCATTTTTTGGGTTTCAGAGCAGCCTTTGCTGAGACTGCATCCCAAGGACCCTGTGTAACCTGATGTTCCCAGCAGTAGAGTGGGTGTCACCATGGTTGAGCAGTGCTCCTGTGCTAAGGGCACCCCCAACTCCAAAGTGTAGTTCATTGAGAGCAATATCTGGAGTTGGAGCCAAAGCAGTGGTGACCAGAGGGTGCTAGAGATGCAGGACAGTGAGCCCCTAACATCTTAGCATGATGCTTCCTTGACAGAACCTCCTTGGTGGTCTGGGAGTCAAGTGGCTACAATGGCTGTGGGCAGCCAGAGCAAGTGAGGGCAACTCACAGTGGCCTCCCCACACTGCCACTTCCTCAGGGTAGACAGGTTGTGTGCCATCCACTCAGGTGAGAGGTATATGGAGTGTCTGCCGTCCTGTATTATCACTCCTTCCCCCACGATGCATATTTGTGGAGGAGTATCACATGTGAGCTCACAGACGCACAGTGAGACTCTGGCTCCTAACTGCTCAGCCAAGGTGCCTCTACAACATTCAGGAGAGAGAACATAAGTCTCAACTTCCTGTGCCCAGATTCAAGGCAAGAATGTAATTTCTTTCCACTAAGATTGCTTTATTTCTGCCATTTTTTTTTTCAGTACTGGGGCTTGAACTCAGGGCCTACACGTTGAGCCACTCCATCCGTCCTTTTTTGTGATGGGTTTTTTTGAGATAGGGTCTCGAGAACTATTTGCCCGGGCTGGCTTTGAACCGCAATCCTCCTGATCTCTGCTTCCTGAGCAGCTAGGATTAAAGGCATGAGCCACCAGTGCCTAGCTGCCAATCTTATTTTTTAATCACTGTGGTTTACTCTGGAATTTTGTAGTCCTGACATTGTATCATTGTGCTCTCTGAAAAGCAACTTGAATCTCTTTTGTAACCATCTTCTGTTACATGAAAGACAGCTGCATTTTATGCTGTTGGAACTGTTGTCATCATGAGAACCATGTCTGCTTCTTCAGAAACATCTTGACTATAAAAATGAAGATTCTAACAGCTTTGTCTCCAGATTACTGAACACCGTCACCTTGAGACTGTAAATAGAACTGTAGGGCAAAGTGACTGGGATCAGTTGGGTGAGGGGAGCAGCTGCAATACAATAAAGCTCATGAATGTGTCTCTATCTTGAAACCAAAGGTGTGCTTCTTATCCTGTGCATGTCTGCCCTTGACCCTTCCATGCAAAGGAATGTGTGCTGTCTAGGATCCACCTAGACGCTGAGTCCGCAAGAGAGGATGGCATTGACAAGGTCTTTATTAATTCACTGGCTAAGTCCAGGTTTCTGAGGTTTGACAATTTTTTTTTATTTTTTATTTTTCTTTTATTATTCATATGTGCATACAGATAAAATTCTTAAAGTAATTCCTAAAACACACAAAGCAAGAATCTCATTCGTGTGTGTGTGTGTGTGTGTGTGTGTGTGTGTGTGTGTGTTTGGGAGGAGGGGTGTCAATATGCCTCCATGGGAATTTGTTTAGAAGTATATACATGAAAATGTTACTGTTTGGGAGCTGCTAATTTTTAGACAATTAAAATTTTGGGGTGTCTTCTGGGTTTTCTACAATGAACATTTACTATTGAATTCCTGTAAAAATAGTTTTCATGAGGGACTCTGCTTCTTGGGTAAGGTGTGTCTTTCACACCTTCAAAGTCCCCTCTGTGGATTAGTGCCTGCCCAGTCCCCAAATTAAGTCCCCAGGCCACAAGGAGGCCATCTGACAGCTGTCACCATGAGGGTCCCTCGCTGTCCTGTTTCAGACAGAGTGGCTGCCCTGTGGAAGAAAAACCTGGACAGCATCTGGGAGCCCATCTGAGCACCTGTTGCTCTGGGAAGCTGACAGGGGCATCAGCTAAGAACCCAGGCCTCCAGCTCTTTGATGCAGAACTGCTCCTGCCGGGCCAGCACCTCATTGTTGAAGGTTGCACAGGGGTGGCTTCCCCCACGATACAAGTCTCCATCCAACCACAGCCCGAACTGGCCACTAAAGAAAAGAGAAAGTCTTGGGATGACTCCTACCAGTGAGTTAGGCTTTCAGGATCTACCACCATTGGCAGCCGTTGGCCACCCCGTCAGGGCAGCCCAGCTTGCTTATCTTCCCTTAAATCACCTTATCCTGAATTTGAGGAATTCCACATGTGGTGCCCTACAGGGTTTAAAGCACTTTTAAACAATTCAGTAATTTTAATAAATAGAGACAGTGGTGCAACCATCATCACAACCCTGTTTGGAAACATGTGGAACATTCTAGTCCCCACATTTGAAAATCCAGGCTGGAATCTGGCTGCAGTGAATCCCTGCACCTCAGCTATGGCCAGGCGGCTCTCAATGGAGGCTTTTCAGGCAACAAGCAAGGCAGAGAATTTGCGTGGGACTAATCAAGCCATGTTTCCATCTTCACCCTCAGGGTAAAATTTAGTGTGCCTGAACTGAAGGTCATAACCAGGGCAAAAACCAACTTTTCTTTTCCTAACTGGCTCCACCTCCTGTCCACACACACAGGCTGGATTCTGGGGCAGATGCTGGTTCCTCTAATGAGATTCATCCCAGAGGACTCCTGGGCTGACCAGTAAATCTGGGTCTTGCTCATCTCTTGCCTCTATCCTCAACTGAACTAATGGTTCACCTCCAGGCCAATGTCATTGTCTTTAAAAAGCATCACTGTCCATTCTCCCCGCCAGCCCTCTCAACCCCCCTACACCTAGAGGTGAGGAGAAAGGACACATGAAATCCCACTACCAAATGGTTTATGGCTGACAACAGCTTGGTCTGAAGTGATGTAACTTTGGGAACATCCAAATAGCCTCCCACTTCATGAGGGGTGGGCACGCCCAGAAGTTTGGAGAGGGTACAGGGACCAGGACACAGACCACCCCAGAACCCAGGAGGAACCCAGAACCACGCACCTGCCACTACCAATCATCAGTGAGTCCAAGTCCCCTTTCACAAAGAAGGAGTTACTTCCTGTCCACTTGAAGACCTGGGATGCAAGGGAAAGACAGGGTCACTTGGCCAATTCTGCCTTTGCAGTCTGACATCAAGCCACTGGGGGTCAGTGTTGTGCAGGGAGCAGCTGGAAGGACTGACTCTTGAGATTTCTTTTTAAGTCTCCTCAGAATGGAATTCCCACAGCCTAGCAAGGCCTTCACTCCAGAAATAGAATTCAAACCTCTGAGGCTTCCTGCTTCCAAAGCTGGAGAGAGAAGAAAAGTCCATGCCGGGATTCAGTGGTTAACTAACTTGCCATCACTCGCTGGAGGTCTCACCCAACCACCTGCCCCCCAGTGCTACCTCACTGCCAGCTCATCATATGTCCTGTGAGCTCTAAGAAACCCCAGAACTTCCACCACCTCTGCTCCTCATCCTTGCCCACATTCACCCCTTGCCTGAATCACAGCTTCCCAAATGGCCTTGCTCCCGCCATCTGCTCCCACGGCCCGTCTCCCCACTGCCACCTGACTGGTCCATCCCAAACTGAAATCATACTGTCACTCTTCTGCCTGAAGCCTCCTGATGGCTCCACACTGCCATGGGGATAAAGTCCATCTCCTTACCTGCCTGCCCTCACCCTTGCTGTCCTCTCTGGGCTCCCTTCCCCCTCCCCTGCGTTGACTGCACCTCAGCCACACTGGCCTTTCTGCCCCTGGACACCCAAAGCTCATTCCTGCCTCAGGACCTTCATGCTTGGTGAACCCTCTGCCAAGAGCACTGTTCTCCTAGGTCTGGAAGCCCAAGTGGTATCCCAGAGAGATTCCTGGACCTCCTATTAACAAGCCCCTCCTCTCAGTCATTCGAGTTCCCTCACTTTCTGAGATGACTCCATGCCTTGCCTGTATCCACCCACTAAAATGTAAGTTTGGTGAAAACCACTGAGATTCCTGGCACTTCATACAGAAATTGGTTGAATGCATACATTATTCAAGAGTCAAATTAGGCAATAAGAGGACATTTAAAGGGCCACAAAAATGTCATATATTATTGCCTGTAATTAGTTGCCAAAAGTGCTATGAGCCACCAAAGAGTTTTTAGCAAGAAAGAAGACTAATAAAAAGAGAGAGCCCTGGACTGAGAAAGAATGAGATAATAGTAACAATCACTCACAAGAAGACTGTTCAAGGACGTGACCTTGCAACTTGAAAGAGTAAGATAAATACTGCCACAAAAGAAACCTAGACGAAGTTCACAGTGCTGGGAATTCATGAAGAACACAAGAAGTGGCAAAAGACCAAAGACAGGCAAGAATTAACCAGTTTTTTAAAAGATGGGATTCCATAACATTAGGTTGAGAAAATTAATAGAGATTTCCTGAAAAAAAAAGATTTATTTCATTCAATAGTTTTTTTTGGTTTTTTAGCACTGTGCACCAGGCACGGTTTAGACACTGGGTAGAATAATGAACAGAATAACAAAAATCCCTGCCTCAAAGTCTAGTGAAGGAAGCAGATAAAGAAGAGAAATAGGTGTTAGATAGTGAACATGCTAGGGAGAGAAGTGAGACGGAGAAGGACAATAAAGGTTTTCAGGGAATGAAGGGTGGCCACTGAGATGGTGACATTAGGACAACCGTAAAGGAGGTGCGTGTAGATCCAGTGGAAGGGGAGTTTGGGCAGAACAGCATGTGCCAAGGTCCTGAGGCTGGAGGACGCCTGCATGGTTGAACTCCAGCCCCAGCAAGCATGACTGGTGTAGAGGGAGGGAGAGTGTAGGGAGTTGAAGATGATTGTAGAGACTATGACTTTCCCCAAGTTAAAAGGAGGCCAAGGAGCAACATGCTTCTCGGTTAGAAGAGGGTCACTCCAGCTCTGAGGACTGAAGGTAGAAGCAGGGAGACGGTTTAGGACGCCAGAGCGGCGACACACATGAGGAATGGTGGAGGGCTGAGCCAGGATGACAGCAGTAGTCCTTGTTACAAGTGGTGACTCCTGCACATAGACATCTGTCAGCCCAGATGTGAGAGAGAAAGAGGCAGAAGCATCCAAGATTTTTGGTCTCTGCAGCAGGAAAGATGGAGGTGCCAGTTCTAGTTTTGGAGAAGAGTAGAGGAGCCAGATTTTATGGGGTGTGTTAAGCTCAGAGTCCCTGGGTCCAAGGGGAGATGCTGGGTCTGGAGTCCAGGGATGAAGCCGTCAATGTGCGGATGGCACACAGAGTCACCAAGGAAGTGAATGTGGTTAGAAAAGAGACCCAAAGCCTGAGCTGTGATGTTAAATGAGGGGGACCCAGCAGAAAGGGCTGACATGGAGGGATCGGTGCAGAAGCAGGAAAACTAGAACTGTGGAATCCTAGCATGGAACACAGGAGGGCACATGCTGAAGACAGCATCCACACTGGCTGACCCGTCTCCTGAGAAGGCTGAACGTGCTGGCCGATGGCAGATGGCAGCAATGCACTAGGTGGGTGTCTCCTGCCTTCAGCAAGGCAGCCCACACCTCCTTGCCACTTCCTTGGCTTAAGGCCAGATGGTATGTGGGAGGATGTATCTGGGAGTGTCTGCAATGCGGGGGGTCTCCAATAGCAAACAAAGCACCTGCACCTAGTTCTGCATCCATTGAACTAAATATGAACAAAGATTTCTGGATGGTGACAGATGCCAGTACAAAGCCAGAGCCCTACCTCTCACACTCTAACCCCCCTCCATCTTTTGGGGTTCCTAAAAGTGCTTCTCTTCTCCCACACCCTTCACCACCTGATGGACTTGTCAAGATCCAGCTCCAGAAACCCCTCTTCTGGGAGGCCTCCCTGGATTGCCCTGCTGATCAGCTGTACACCTCTGTGTTTCTTCTCAAGCCCTTGAGACTCTGTTGTGATCACCTCTCCTCCTCTACGGAGAGAAGGACACCAGGCATCCCAGCGTGGAGGATGGAGCTGGGGCAATTAGGACCTGGGGCTATGTCCTGCCATAGACGCCCTCCTCTCCTCCCCCCATGGAGGGCAGGAGACATCACCTTCAGCTGTGGGGAGAAGGAGAAGAGGAATGTCTCGCCAGTACCGTAGAAGCCTTTGCTGAGTCGGAGAGCCGAGGAGGAGAAGGCACCGAATATCTGGAAAGCAGAAGCCCGTGTGGTTTGCTACTGGAAGGGCAGCCCAGTCTCCAGCCTTGTAATGTGGCCTCAGCCTTGAGGGCACCAGGGCAGCTGGGGCAGTGCTGGGGACCAGGAGCCCCTGTGGCCCTCCACCTGCACCCTTTCTTCATGCTCCCCAGGAAAAGTCCTTGCCAGCCCTCTGGTTGTCAGGACCCTCCCTCTCTTCCCCAAATATACTTCCTCTATACTAGTCACCCTTCTAGAAAAATTACAGGTTATAGACAAGCAAAAAGGAAAGAAAGTAAAATAATCCCCAAACTCCTTCTTCCTCCCCAAGATGACTTCTCTTAACATCTTGGTGCCTTTCCTTCTGGTATTCTTAGTGCCAGTGTTCAGACTTTTATGCAAAAAGAGAGCCCCAGCTGCTTCCCCCTCACTTTTTGTTTTGTTTTGTTTTGTTTTTTTGAGACAGGTTCTTACTATGTAACCCAGGTTGGCCTTGAACTCTCAGTGCTCCTGCTTCAGTCTCCTGAACACTGGCGTGCAACACCACACCCTGCTCCCCTGGCTTTTCTTTACCAATTTCAAACATAAAGAAAAGTTCAAAGCACTGCACACATTCCCTCCGCAGACTCGACAGTGGTAAAGGAGTTCACTCTGTTTGCTCTCTCTCTGTATTTCTCTGACCCATTTCAAAGTAAGTGGCAAATATCGTGACCTTTCATCTCTAAATAATTTAGCTCCTTAGAATGGGGGACTTTCTCTTATATAACACAGTCCCATTATCACACCGAAGAGAACTAAGAATAAATTCCGTGTTATTGCTTAGTAGCCAGTCCATACTCCATTTCCCCCAGTCGTTCTAAGAATACTGTTTATAACCCGCTTTAAAGAGAAACACTGGGCCTGGCACTGGTGACTCACGCCTGTAATCCTAGCTACTTGGAAGAGAAGCACTTAGCACGTTTAATACCCAGGCTTCTACTTCAGGTTCTTGCCTGCCCAGTGTTTCACTGAGTGACTTCGCCATCTTCCTCCCGTGGTTAGCTGGGGTGTGGATTTTCACCAAATAGTGCTAAGTGGCAAAGGGAGGGTCACTGGGGCAGATAATCGTAGGAGAAACTTCACTGTTGGTGGAATCTGTCACAAAAAAGGCTCCATCTGAAGGGCGTGAGCTTCCCAGCCCTCTTCCATCAGCATTTTTAGACAAGTACTCCTGTTCAAGTGGGGGTTCCTCTGGGACCCCTGAGATCTCTCCAGCGCTAGCATGTTTCTTTTGCAGAGCAGTATTTGAAACCAGTTCCCACCACACTTCTGCCTGGAGAGCCTACTTGAAATTCTTGAAATTCCACCATTGGCGAGACTGTGGGCTTCAGGCATAGCTATCTCAAGGTTTCTCTTGTAAAATGTAGGAGCCATCAGTGGCTGCTTCTGACCATTTCATTATTACCTGCCCCCCAATCTGTTCTTCTCCCATCAGAAGGGGAGATGTTTTCAAAACTACACTGATCATTAAGGTGCAGATCACCTACTTAAACTCCCTCCATAAGAGTTGGGTGATTCTTATGACTCACATCTGTAATCCCAGCACTTGGGAGGCTGAGGCAGGAGGATTTCAAGTTCAAGATTAGCCTGGGCTACATACCAAGACCTTAACTCAAAAAAAAAAAAAATCCCTTCATAGCTCTTGTCTGTCACAGTTTTACATTTATAGTAATGATAATTTGCTTCAGGCCTGGCCCCTCCCCCCAGTAGACCCTGAGCTCCAGAAGGGCTGGGACAGGTTCTGGGTTATCCTTACTCCACATCTAACCTGGCTCACCAAAGACACGTAAGATATGTGTGCCAGGTGAACAAATGAGTGCCAGGCTCCGGGGTGGGGGGCGGCGGGAGTGTCTCAATCCCATCCTCTGGCCTGTTAGGATAACTCAGTCAGTTACCTCTGCCCTCTCATCCTGATACTGCTCTGGGTGACCCAAGGGTCCATTGGGACGACGGAGCCCCAGAGCCTGGCCCAGCTCACCTGCCCATCCTGGTCTCTGAGCAGCAGCAGCACTGGCCCGTGTGACCCTCCATCTGCCGGTACAGGCTCCGCAGACTGAAGCCGTCTCTCGATGTGCAGAAGACCAGGCTCCAGAGGCCACTGGCGACTCTCGGGGGTAAGTGGAGGCTCAGCTGGAGGTAGGGCTGGAGGTGAGCAAGGGGGTGGGGAGATTCACCTCCCACTCCCTCCTTTCCACAGCAGCCTCCCGGCACCACTCAGGCAAGGCACTTTCCCATGCCTGGGGGTTCATGCCCATCAGCCATAGCCCTTGAAGACGGTTTTTCTTCCCATTCTATAGATGGGGAAACTGAGGTTCAGGGAGGGGGAGAGTAAGTGGCAAATCCAGGAAATTGAAACCAAGACAGATCTCAGGACTCTTCTCCTGGTCACCCTGGTCCCCAGAGGCTGGAGAACAGATGTCATGCTGAACCCTTCTTCCTGGTGCCCCCCTTCATTCTCCCACCCTCACCCAGGCTTTGCCTTCAGTTCCCAACAGCTTAATCTGCCTCTAATTGGAGTCTTTCACTCACTGTATCCTCAACCTCCCTGCCCAGTGAGGAGCATGCTAGTGGCACTGGACTGGTTCTCTAGAAAGGAAAGCCGGGAGAGATGTGATTTGCCCAAGGTGTCACAGTGAACTAGGGACAGAGCAGCTGTGGCCCCAGTGCCCTGGGTGTGGCTGCTGTAGGGAAGAGACTCAGGGCTGAAGTCCTGGTGCATGGGCTGTGCCCGAACCTGCCTGATCTCCAAGGTGCCCAGGACCTGGCTGGCTTCTGTCAGCTGTGGCTCCACAGGGTCTGCAGGCGGAGGGCCAGGGGCTGCCTCTGCTGCTTCTGCCTCCTCCACATCCTCCTCCTCATCCTCCTCCTCCCCAGAGAAGGCGTCCTCCATCTGAGTGGGCTGTGAAGACCCAAAGAAGCCGTGTAGATTGAGGAACAAAGAGGCACCAGTTGGTACCATCTCACAGGGAGTGCCCTGGCCTGCTTCCTCCTGGACCAGCAGAGGAAGGTGGCAGGCACATGTCCCCTGGCCCACGGTGCTGTTCATCTGAGGCCTGTCTGCCTGTTTCTCTGGACCAGAGTGGGTCCCAGGCTTCAAGTTCTAGGAGGGCAGGTGGCAGCCAGGCCCTGGGAGCTGCAGCTATGTGTGTTTGTATGAGACACAATGACGATACAGCAACAGTAGTCAGGACAGTGGCTGACACTGATGCAGCCCATACTCTGTGACCAGGCCTGTGGCCTGCTTGCCATGCATGATCTCAGAATTCTCCCCACAGTCCTGAGGACGGGCTGCTGACTTCTCAGTCACACAGGAAGCCCGGGGCTCACCTTCAGCCTATGAATGAGGCCTAAGTGTGGTCAGACGTGAGGCCGTGCACACAGGTCCATGAAAACGTGTTTGTTTGTGTGAATTGTGTGCTGGCTTGAAACACAGTTGTGTAGGCCAATCAGTATGAAAAGGTTCAGTGTGGATTTGAGTGCTCTGTGTTAGTGTGTTTTGACTGGGGGTGTGTAAATACTCATGCATTTATGTGTGGGCCTGCACACTAACTCATATACCTGAGCTTCCACTGTGTACCAGGGTGTGTTTGACTGTGTGTGTTCACGCGTGTGTACTTATCTATGCAGGCTTGCACACATGACTTCAGGCTCCTCATAAGTAGAGACTGCTCTAAACAGAAGAAACACACGGGATTCCCTCTCCTGCCCTCCCCCCATTCTCCAGACCCAGGAGTGTCACTATGGCACCCTCCAGAAGGGACACAGACAGTGGTCTGTCCCCCTGGAGTGTTTCAGGACCACAGGGCTGGGGGCTCAGGCCCCAGCTTCCTGAGTCAGCCTCTGCTCTAAACCCCTGGCCAGCCAGGGAGGAACCTAAGAAGGACAAAGCACCCATCACTTCCTGCTCCACCCAGGCCCCTCCCTCATCCCCTTCCCAATGTTATCCAGCCAAGCTGTGCCCCTTACCAGTCGAGTGTACTGCCAGCGGAGACCTTTCATTCTCCTGTCTCACAGGTGCCAGGTCCTCAGCCCTGTGGGAGGAAGGGCTGGGAGACGGACGAAACCAGGAGATGAGAGGGAGGGGCCTGGGCACACCCAGCTGGCTTCGTGCCCACCTGGCTGCCCTTTGCTCCCTCTCACCTGTCAACCCTAGACCAGTGGCTCTGTGCCTTGGCATTCAAGGCCTCGTTTGCAGTTAGCACCTGACATCATTAGCTATGCACAACACATCTACCTGTGCCACCACCCTGCTCCTCTGGCTGCCTGGTCCCAGGACTGTGGCTCTTTGGGAAGATGGCTAAGGTCTAGGCTGTGGGTCCAGGGCCTCTCATTCCCTGTGTGACCATGGATTTGTACCTCTGAGCCTCAGTTTCTCCACATATAACATGTAACATGTTAGACCAGCTAATCTCAGAAGCCCTCCCAGGACAGACAGCCTGTAATTCAGGTCCCTCTCAAAATGGATGAGTGCGTTATAACAGAAGCCAGAAAGGGTGTGTCCAGACTAAAAGAATAGATCATTCATACACAATATTTTGGACTGGGGCATTGCTCGGTGGTAGAGCACTTGCCTAGCATGTGCAAGACCTTGGGTTCAATCTCTAGCACCAAAAAAGGAAAAGAAAAGAAGGGAGAGAAGGAAAGTGGAAGGGAGGGGAGGAGGATGAAAAAGAGCATAGATGGGCCAGCTGGGTCGGGGGTAGCTCAGTGGTAAAATGCTATGCCCCCACCCTCACCCCCACAGTGCACACAAGGCCCTGGGCTTGATCCCTAGCACTGCATAAATAAATAAATAAATAAATGTTTTTAAAAAAATTAAAAGAGGCTAGAGGCATGGCTTAGGTGGTAGAGCTGTTGCCTAGCAAGCACAAGCCCTGAGTTCAAACCTCAGTACTGTCCTCACCACAAAAAAGACCACAGGCTCTCGAGTCAGGGAATTCAAATTCTGATTTGCTACTTATTTGGCTGTGTGACCTAGAGGTTCCTTAACATCTCTATGCTTCACTTTCCTCATCTAACAGCTAACTCCTAAGACTGCTGTAAAAATAAGTGAAGATGTGGTGCTGCATCCCTGTAATCCCAGCTATTTGAGAGGCAGAGGTGGAAGGGATCAATGTTCCATCAATCCAGTGAAAGTTAGTGCAAGACCCTATCTGAAAAACTAAAAATGCAAAAGGGTGGGGACATGGCTCAAGTGGTAGAGCATTTGCCTTGTAAGCAATAAGGCCCTAAGTTCAACTCCTGTCTGAAAAAACAAACCACAACAAGAAAAGATAAAAAAGCAAAAAAAAGAGTAAAGAAGCCTGAAGAACAAGGCTGCTAAGCCAGGCCTCTATCCTCAAGGATAACCTACCGCCCCTCGCATTTGGTACTCCTGGATAAATGACAGTGCTTATCACTGTCCTCTACACTGCCTCTCCAGGAGCTCCAAGGCCCAAATTCCTAACGACAGCACTTGGGTGCCACGAGGCAGGCCATCCCTCAGTCCCTCACAGGGTGAGGAACTCAGTGGGGAAAGGAGAGTTGGATACCGAGGAGAAAGGTACTCACCTTGCCCAGCCCCGGGCCCCTCGCCACCTCCTGCAGCTTGATGGTCTGATGGTTACCCTCACACACCTCCCTGGTCCCCCAGAGAGCAGGCTAAGCCGCCCAGAACCAACCCTACCCACCTGGCCTTCTGTTCAGCTTTGTCTCCTGCTCTTGTTCTCAGCCAGTGGCTGGCACCTCTACCCAGCCCTGGCTCCAGGTCCTCCTCCCTGGCTCTTATACCTGCCCAGAGGTGGCAGACCCTGGCCCTGTGCCAGGCCAGTTCCAGTTGGGAGGGCCTGTCAGTGATTATCGCACACCAGACACTCAAGTCTCAAAAGTACACACAAACAAGACCTTGTCACCCCTCTGGTCCCCAACTCTGTCCCCATCAGCCCAAAGAGGTGAGGGATACTGGGCTCCTTGCTCCTACCTGGAACTTCTTTCCAGCACGCAGGGACCCACTGGTGCCCACCATCGAGGTCCCTCCCTTAAGGTGTCTGTGATGTGAATGTCATGGGGAAAGGCAATACTGGGGTTCCCCATCAATTGTGCTGTGCTGAGGGGTGCCCAGGCCTGGGCTCTGGCCCTGCTGGCTTCCCCTTATAAATGGGGTAAGGGCTTTCCTCATAGGTCCCCGTGTGCACTTGGTGAGGCTGAGCACAGGAAGCCCAGGGTGTGGCACATAGTCGGTGCTCTGTCCTTGGGGGTTACCTCTCTGTCCCTGCTTCACAGTAGGACCTCAATGACTGCTGTATGGTTGAATAGCAAAATTCAAAGCTGTGTGGGACTTCACTGAGCCCCAAAGCAAGCAGCCCTCCACCCAGGGCAAGACCCCCTGAGAAATAAGTTGGGCAGGTGAGCTCACTTTCTCTCGGGTAGCTCACCCCATCTTCACACAGCTGAAAGAAACCCTGGCCTTGATAGAGAGGATTTGGGTCCCCAGATACCTTGCCGATGGCCAGGTGTCCTGGGGCAATGTTCTCTCCCGGAAGTGTGGAATGCCAAAAGGTCTTGTATTATGGGGAAAACAGGCAAGTGAAGGGCCCTGTTGCCACCTCAAACATGGCTGTTGCAACGTATGTTTAAGCTGTAAACTGCCAGGGGTCACACTCCTGGCACTTTCTGCCACCCCTCTCCCTGTGCCTCTCCAACTCCACTCCCCATGCTCAATAACTGAGCTTGAGTACTGAGCACGGAGCACTCAGAGAAGCCAGGGAGGTTTGTCTGGCTGTCCAATTCTTTGTCCTCAGGTCTAGGAAATCTGAGTGTGTGACCTGGCAAGGGGACACCCCTGGCCAGATAGCAGTCCTCCAGAGCTGCCAGATGGGACCATAAGCACCAGGGGCCTGACACTCCCACTGCTGTGCCTTCTCCTCTCTTCTCCACTAGACCTCTAGCTTCCTCTTTCAGAACCATGATATCATCTCCAGGAAATGCTAGGGATGGAACCAGGCCTTGCTCACAACAGGCAAGTGCTCTACCACTGAACTACATCCTCAGAGTTTGGTTTTCTGAGTCAGGGTCTTGTTATATAGCTCAGGCTGGCCTTGAGCTCTCCATCCTCCAATCTCAGCCTCCCAATGCTGGCATTACAGGTGTGCACCACTACGTCCAGCACCTCCAGGAAAGTTTAAGTGTCCAAAAAAAGGGAAAAATAAGTGACCCATGAAACATCAGCGTGTGGATTATTTCCCAGCATGAAAAGTGAGGTTTGCAAGGAGTTTAGAATCATGAAATGAGAAATGATTCCACTACTTTGTCAAGTGGAAAAAACAGAGTAAACAATTTTCTATGTGGTAGAATTTCAGCAATGAGAAAGGAACTTGAAAACATCAAAACTTTAGAATTTTTTTTTTTTTTTTTTTTGAGCAGGGTCTCTATCTCTTGATCCTGCTGTCTTAACCTTCTGAGTACAGGGATTACAGGTATGCACAACTACACCCAGTTCAAAAATAATCATAAGAATTTTGGGTTTTTTTCAGTGCTGGGGATGAACTCAGTGCCTTGCACATGTTAGACGAGCACTCTACCACTGAGCTACACTGCCAGCCACTTCTCTTCTCCTATAGATCCCTCCCTAAGGGATCTCACTTGCTCTCAAGGATTTGAATATTACCTACCACCAAGTACACTTTATGGCCTCAGACCTAGCTGCTACCCTGGGGTCCACACTTGCATGCTTATTGCCTATCCACTTGGATATCTCCTTAGACACCAAGTTGAACACGTCTGAAAAGAAATCTTCATTTAACTTCTGAACCGGGGCCTCTCTTCTCCTATCACCTCTAAGCTGGTCTTTCCTGCCACAGTAAATGGTGCCATCATTCATTTCATTGCTAAAGCCAGAAATTAGGGAGTTGAACTTGGCTTTGTTTCTCTGAATCCTTGCTTCCAGGCAAGGGTGAAGGACACTGCAAAGCTCCAGAACACATCCCAAAGCTGCCTTCCTCCTTCCCTCCCCACTGCTTCTAGGCCCACTGGTTCTGCAGCCCCTTCTCTGCCTTCCAGCATCTGTTCTGGCCAGCACAGAGCGATCTAGTTTAGTACATAAATTAGATGGCTTATCACCGCATCGAGATAAATCTCCTGCCCATGGCACGCCCTGTTCCTGCTCCCCACCCCTCTCTGTCTCTTTCTCCCTCCACTATGGAGGGGGTTGGAACTCAGGGCCTCATGCTTGCTAGGCAGGTGTTCTACCACTGAAGCCACTTGACCAGCCCTTTTCTGTGTTGGGCTTTTTGAGATGGGGTCTCTCAAACTCAAACTATTTGCCTGGGCTGGCTTTGAACTTCAGTCCTTCTGACCTCTGCTTCCTGAGTAGCTAGGGTTACAGATGTGAGCTGCTGGTACCAACTATTATTCAGCTTCCGGTGCATTTGTTATGTCATCTTAACACACAGATGCAATGTGTTTCAATATTTCTCACTGCCTGTCATTCTCTTTTCCTGTCCTGCCTCCTCATCGTCCCCTCAGACCCACTACTACAATCACATCCTCTCACTCTCATATATGAATTTATGTCTACGTTTCTCTTTTAGGTCTAACCTCCACCTATGAGGGAAAACATGTGACTTCTGTCTGTCCTTCTGAACCTGGCTTACTTCTCATAATATGATGATCTCCAGTCCATCCATTTACCTGCAAACAACATAATTTTTCTTTATGGCTGAGTAATACTTCAGTGTGTGTGTGTGTGTGTGTGTGTGTGTGTGTGTGTGTGTATTTTCTTAACCCACTCATCAGTTGCAGGCATCTGGCTATTGTGAATAGTACTGCTTCAGTAAAAATGGGTGTGCAAGTGGCTGTTGTGTATCGTGGCTTACATTCCTTTGGGTGTATGTCCAGGAGAGGTACCATTGAATCATATGGTAGGTCTATTTTTAGTTTTTTGGGAACTTCTATACTGCTTTCCATACTGGTTGCACTAATTTACATTCCCACCAACAGCATCCCTGCCCCCATCCTCTCCAGCATTTGTTCTTTGTGTTCTTTGATGACAGCCATTCTTTCTGGGGTGAGGTGAAATCTCTGTTGTTTTAACTTGCATTTCCTTTATGACCAAGAATGTTGAGCCTTTCTTTGTGTATTTATTGGCCATTTGTACTTCTTTTGAGAATTGTCTGTTCAATTCATTTGCCATTTATTCATTCAGTTGCTGATTCTTTGTAGGGTTAGTTTTTTGAATTCCCTATATATTCTGGTTATTAATGCCTTGTCAGATGTGTAGCTGGCAAAGATTTTCTTCCACTTTGTAGGGTGTTTCTTCAGTCTGGTGATCATTTTCTTTGCTGCACAGAAGCTTTTTAGTGTGATGCTTTCCTACTTGTGAATCCTTTCTCTCTCTCTCTCTTTTTTTTGGGGGGCACTGGGATTTGAACTCAGGCCCTCACACTTGCTAGACAGGCACTCTTAGCACTTGAACCATGCTGCCAGCCCCTGTCAATCCATTCTCTTAATCACTGAGCTATTGAGTTCCATTCGGGAAGTTAGTATCTATGTCTGTATGTTCCAGTGTATTCCCTCTTCTTTCCTGTAACAGTTTCACAGCTTCAGATCTTAAATTAAGATCCTTGACCCTCTGCTACGTAATTCTTACAGTCATTTAGTGCTTCATCCCTTCTCTGCCAGAGATTATGCAGTACACACTGGGTGTCTGAACTAGACATTTGTAGCCTGGTAGCACAGTAGTAGGACATTGGGCCCTGGAATTTGGTCACCCTGAGTTCAAAATTGACTCCAGTCTAACCATTTCCAAGCCGTATCACCTCAGGTATGTATTCATTCCAGCTGCCCATTGCTGTGTAACAAATGGCCCCAAAACTAGTTGGCTTAGAACATTTGTTTTGCAATTTGGGCTGGGTCAGTGAGATAGCTCACTTCTGCTCCACTTGTCAGCTGGGTGACTCCAGGGCTAGGGGATGAATCATCTGAAGGGTCCCTGTCACGTGCCTGTGCCTGGTGACTAGTAAGACCAGAGCTGGAGTTATTGCCTAGAATACCTTCATGTGGCCACTCCATGAGGCTTAGGCTTCCTCACCACATGGTGCCTGGATTCCAAGGGTGAGAAAAGAGAGAGAGAGAGAGAGAGAGAGAGAGAGAGAGAGAGAGACTGGACAGAAGCCATACCGTCTTTTTATGATCTAACTTTGCAAGTCACAGAGTATCACTTTCACCATACACTATTGGTTCAAGGGCAGAGAACATAGACCCTGTTGCTGGATTGGAGAAGTGTCAATGTCACATGGTAAGAAGAACAGCTGGACAGGAAAATGCAATCAGCCATAAGAAGTTCCTTGACCTCCCTGAGCTGCTGTGGTGGCACTAGTCTGTAGTTTCAGTTACTCAGGAGGATTGCATCAGCCCACCAGTCCAAGGTCAGCCTGGGTAACATACAGAGACCAGTCTTAAAAAAGAAGGAGGAGGAGGAGAGAAAGAAAGAAAAGAACAAAAGAGAAAAGAAGAGAAGAAAGCACGTCATTCTGAGATTGTTTACTGAGAGGCTAAGTGTGACCTGTACACAGTGAGCTTGGTGAGCTTGCAAGGGTCGGAGAGCTGTGGAGCTTGCTGTCAGTGGAGCAGCGTTACCTACCCACATATAGCCAGCAAGCTTCACCCCCTTTGCAGTATAGCTGGTCTGATCTGAGTCCAGAGTCCCTATCTCTGCCCCACTCAGACCCTGAGCCTCTCCCAACCAGGACCTGTTTTTTTTTCAGCCATCCCTAGAGCTGCAGGATAGATTCTTGGCTCCCCAAATCCAAAGAACTTCAGGCCAGGAAGGACCCTCAACCATGAGTGTGGGGTCCAGAAAAGACAGGTGGTACAGCCAATACTCAGACCCCAGTCCAAGAAGGGAGGTGCAGGCCTCTCTGATCTCAGTGCCATTGGTGTGGCTAAGAGTGTGTTAGACCTGGCTGAGCCAGCCTGGTCTGGTATGTTCCTTACATGGACTTACAACATCCCTCCAAGCCCACTTTCTGCATAGGAGGACAAACTGAGGCACAGAGAGGGCAATAATTTCCAAGAGTTACACAGTATCCCTTGGTGCCTACCAGCACCAGCCTACAAGAGCAGGTGCATCAGAGCTTAAGGACCCTGTTGTCTGGTACACTGGACAAGGCCAGGCCGGGACTGTGAGGCCCAAAACTAGGAAGGCCTGCCCTGGTCACTAACACAAGTCTCTCACATCACTGCTCAGTACCCTTGCCCCAGTATCCTGTGACTGCCCTGCCTGTGATTTGGGGTACATTGCTCCCTATACTGTGTGCTCCCTGAGGCCAGGAACCCACCAGCCCACCATTGGGGCCCTCAGTGACTCACCTGGCTCCTGTGCTAGAGTGGACAGGGGGGAGGGAGTGTTCTGCCAGGAGGGGCTGAATTGAAGAAGTGCTTGCCTAGAGCCTGCTGGGCACCATGGCTGCTCTCCTGACTCCAGGGGGACTCAGAAGGCACCCTGGAGGACCTGGGGGTGAAGGAGCACTCACCCGCCTCAGGTGAGAGGGAAACCCCCCCACCTCCAATGTATTCCCAGCATGGGGGTGGGAAGGAGACAAGTGAACTTAGTGCCAGTTGTGTTGTGTGTCATGTTAGGGGAAGAGATGAAAGAGGAGGAGGAGGAAGGAAAAAATGGGCAGGGGGAAGAAAAGGGGAAAGAGGAGCAAAAGGAACATATGAAAAAAGAGGGAAAGGAGGAAGAGAGAAGTGGAAGAAGGAGGGGAGAAAAAGAAGGAGAGGAACCAGAGAAGGAAGAAGAGGCTGAAGGGGGGTAAACAGCCACGCTTTTCTGAGAGGCAAAGGGGCCACTCTGAGGATGAGCGTCCGCTATGAGGCAGCCAAAGATTTAATCTGGTTCTGCCTCGCAGTGGCTGGGGTGGAAAGAAGCAGAGAGGCGCAGTGGAGGGAGAGTGAGGAAGGTGTAATAGATTCAGAAAAATAAACCAGTGGGAGAGGAGTTGTGGAGTAGCCAGAGAGGGAAAGAAACCACGCCCACCAGAGCCCGCGCTGGAGGGTGGGGGGCTTCCAGAGCTGTTGGGTGGAGGCCTCGGATCATGGGGTGCTCAGGGCCGTTCCAGTCCGTGCCAGCACCAACTGGGGCCAAAACCTGCTAAAGCATCTCCTGGTCTGGGCTAGAGGTGTGGCTCAAGTGGTACAGCGCCTGTCTAGCAAACGCGAAGTCCTGAGTCCAATACTGCTATACATAACAAAAACAACAACAATAATAATACCATCCACTGGTCATCTCTATTTAGTCGTAGAGAGTCTGAGATTGTCGCGGAGGGGTAGGTCTGCCTGGGATCCAAGACGGTCAAAGTGCACAGAGCCGGGCAAGCACCCAGGGCAGCGGGAGGGAATTCGAGGCAGAAGCAGCCTAAGCTGAGGTGTGAGGTTTGGCTCCTATCCGAGTTCTACCATGGACCGTAAACTGATCGTTCGCCCAGCCTGACTTCAGTTTACGGGTCTGTAGGATGGGATGGTTGGTTTCGCTGTGCCAGGTTGAAGGGGGCGGAGTTCGCGCACGCTCAGCACCAGCGAGGGGCGAGGGGCTAGGTGCTGGGGTGTGCATGGATGCTGGTGCGGGCGATCTGAGGTCCCCCCGGCCTCTGCCCGGGAATCCCCCCTCCTGCCGCCCGCGCGTCCCCTCCCGGGACGCCGGACGCCGGGGCGCCCCAGCGGGGTACGATCCCCCGGCACGCAGGGGAGGGGGCGGCGGCGGAGCAGAGGAGGAGAGAGCCGGGGCCGCGGCTGCCCGGGCCCGCCTGACCCTCGAGGGGGTCGCTGTTGCCTCGCACATCCTTCCCTTGCTCCCTGCCTGCGTCCCTCCCCGCCGCTCCCGCCGCGTCCGCCTTTTGTTCGCGGAGCCGCGCGCCCCCGAGCCGAGGCGGCGGGGCGGGGAGCTGGCGGGGCTGCGCGGGGGGCGGGCAGCGCCGGGCGGAGCCGGGGCCCGGGCCGCAGCCGGACTCGGAGCCCGAGGCAGCGATCGCTGTGCAAGCAGCCGAGGCCCGGGCACGCTCCGGGGGCGCGGCGAGGCCGAGGGGGCGGGCGCCGGGCGGAGCCGGAGTCGGAGCCGGGGCGCCTGGAGGCGATCAGGCCGCTCTCTCCGACCTCAGAGCAGCGGAGAGACCGTGCGGCGGGGCTCGAGGCCGGAGCGCAGTCCCCGGGTTGAGGTGGGCAGAGAAGAACAGCAGCCCGAGCGGCCGGAGTCGCACTCGGACCCTTCCCAGGGACGCCGAGGCCGGGCGGGCCCGGGCCATGCGCGCCGCTCACTGAGGCCGAGGGAGGCCGCGATGGAGGCGCCGGCGGGGGAACTCCCGGCGCGGGGCTGCGGCCCCCCGCCCGCGCCCGCCCCAGAGAGGAAGAAGAGCCACCGCGCGCCGTCGCCAGCCCGGCCCAAGGACGTGGCCGGCTGGTCTCTGGCCAAGGGCCGCCGCGGCCCAGGCCCGGGCGCCGCTGCCGCCTGTAGCGCCGCGTCCTCAACGCGGCCGGACAAGAAGGGGCGCGCGGTGGCGCCCGGAGCGCGGGGCGCAGGGCCGCGGGTGGCTGGGGTCCGCACCGGGGTGCGCGCCAAAGGCCGTCCGCGCCCGGGTGCGGGGCCGCGACCGCCTCCACCGCCTCCCAGCCTCACGGACAGCAGCTCCGAGGTGTCCGACTGCGCGTCGGAGGAGGCGCGCCTGTTGGGCCTGGAGCTGGCGCTGAGCAGCGATGCCGAGTCGGCGGCCGGGGGCCCGGCGGGAGCCCGCACCGGGCAGCAGCCCCAGCCCGCGCCATCCGCGCAGCAGCCTCCGCGGCCGCCTGCTTCCCCGGATGAGCCGTCGGTGACCGCGTCGTCGGTGGGCAGCAGCCGCCTGCCGCTCAGTGCCTCGCTCGCCTTCTCCGACCTCACCGAGGAGATGCTGGACTGCGGGCCCGGCGGCTTCGTGCGCGAGCTGGAGGAGCTGCGCTCCGAGAACGACTATCTCAAGGTGGGGTCGCTGAGGGGAAAGGGAGGCGGCGGGGGGGCTCAGTGACTCTCACGGCCCCGCGGGCCTGAGACACTAGTCGGCCACTTTCCCACTGAACAAGCTGGGGAAAGAGACCCGAGGTCGATCTAGGGCTCCCTCACAACCCCTCTCCACTTTATTTGGGAAGCCCTCTCCTGGAGGGGGGGGACTTGCATAGCATACTGGTCAAAGTATTTGGGGCGTCGATTTGGGGAGAGGGGCCTTGGAAAACCTCTCTGGAGGATCTTAAGTGGGTGGGGGTGGGTATTTAGCAAGGGGCTGGGTCCCTGCTCCGGACCCCGCCCCCAGGCCGGCGGGCCTTACAGGCTCTCCTTTCTGGGATGGGCACCAATGTGCATGGCTGGCAGGGAAGCCTATGGCGATCCGCTGGCGAGGAGAGACGGAACACCACCCTGAGTCTTTACCCAAGGCTTCCCCCTGGTCTGGCCTGTCCCTGCCTGCCTTTCGGGGCGGGTCCAATTTGAAAGCATGACATCTGGGAACATCCCCTTGGCTGGAGTCCACTTCCGCCCAGTCTAACGGTCCCACAGCCTGGGAGGATGATTTCGTGGGAGAACCGGTTCAGAGGCAGCTTCCCCAATCCCAGCATATCACAAAAGGGCCCAATCGGCCCTCTGGCCATTGCCTCCTCCTTCCCATGTTCTACCTTAAAGTGGCAGTTCCCTCTGGGCCCATGGGGACTGAGAGCTGCCCAGAGGAGTGGGTTTGCTTTGGGTCGCTCAGTAGACATGAGCACCTCTGGGTGCAGGCCAGGCTCCGTCCGCCCCCTACCTGGCATCATGGCAGCTGTGGGCCCAGCCCAGCTCTGGTGTGTTGACCTTGGCCCAGGAGGCTGGAATCTTCCTGGGCTATACTGCTGCTGCTGCTGGGCATGGTTTGGGAAGAGGCTGCCATGTTGCTTGCACTTGTCAGTTGATGGCCTGGCACAACACCCAGTGTGCCCCTGGCGGGAGCCCCTCAGCTAACAGCACTCTGCTGACTTATGCCTGCCCACAGCTCTTAAGCTTGCCTTGTGGCTCTGCCGGCCAAAGGGGTTTCTCCCTCCTGAAAGTGTTGAGGGCTTTCTCAGTTGTGTCCCTCAGTCCCCATCTTTTCTCAGGATTTGTTCTCCACATGTGTTCAGAAAACACTTGCAGACTACAAGGACAGGGTCTGTCTGAAGCAGGATAACCTGCTGCTTCAGCCTTGACCCTTCCCCAGGACAGGCCCCAGTTTTCTTTTCTGTGACATGGGAGGATGAATCTTCCCAAAGGCCCCCTTCAGTGTTGACAATAGGGATTCAATCAGTCCTTATAGTTTTCTAAAGATGGTGGTGATGAGAGCGCAAGAGGAGGGTGAAGGAAGGAGGGAACTGACACGCTTCAAAATGGAGTCTTTGGGGCCTGTCCTGTGGATGCTCCAAGCTGCTTCCTATACTCCCTTTCTGTGCTGCTCCAAACTTGGACCTGAGCCCCTTACCCCAGCTGCTCCCAGTGACAAAACAGGAGGGTTCACAGTGCTTGCCTCAGGGTCTCCTCATGCCTTACCCCTGTGGACTCCAGGGCATCCCAGGAAGTCAACAGGCAGAGCCTTGAAGCCCATCTCAGCTGCTCATGACTGTTCTTATGGGAGAGTGGTCCCAAGAGACTAGGGGTTGAGCCTAGGGTTTCCTAGGGCCCAGCTGGGGACTTGTTGGTGCCTGGACCAGGGCTGAGCCTCAGTTTCTACCATCCATTCAGTAGTTCAGGCTCTATGCTCAAGCCTCAGGTCACTATTGGATCTTCCTCTAGCCTCCTGACTGTGTGATCTTAGGCAGGTTACTTAACATCTCTGGACCTCAAGTTTTTCATTTGTAAAAATGAGAAATCACACATCTTTCAGCCTTGAGGAGTAAATGAGATATAAGATCTGCACACGCCAATGGGAGGCTGGTGTGTAGTAAACCAATGGCAGAAGCTGAGATCACTGCTATTTTCCAGAGACAGGGGACATGTTCCATGTGCACCTGCCACATTCTCTCGTGAATTCTCTGGTATGGGGTCCCCCCCTGGTGCAGGCTGGGCTGTCTCCTGGCCTTTCACTCATTCATTTGCCCAGTATTTGTTTAGAGTGTGCTGCATACTGGTGCAGATGTGAGGATACAACTGAAGGAGGGTGTCTGTTCTCATGGACCTTTGGGCAACTGGGATTAAACAACAGTCATATGATAAAGCAGGGTGGAGAAGGGTAAGTATGCCAAAGCATGTGAAGGTGGGGCCTGGGGCTCAGGGAGGCCAAGAGCTGAAGGATGACATGAGCCGACTGAGTAAGGAGGTGCAGTAAGAACGTTCTAGGCTAGTGGAAAAGGCTTGTTAAGTTCGAGAACAACACAGAGGCCAGGGAGGGGAAGCAGATTGGTGAGGAGGTGTCCTGTGTGCACTTGGGTCAGGCCCTCTCCTCTTCTGCAGGTTCATTTACCACAGCTGCCAACCTCACAGAGCCAGGGTGGAGATGTTAATGTGGACGTGGTGTAGGACTTAGTATAACAGGTGTTTTCTTCATTCTGCAGATGGGTAAACTGTGGCCAGAGAAGGGAAGGGTCTTGCTCCAGGTCTCAGAGCCAGAGACTCTAGGCAGCCAGGGCTTGGGGTAAGAGTGTTAAAACACCTGACCTGTTCCTGCCTCTCTGGGCCACTTTGCATCTAAGATACAGAAACTGGGGAACAAGAAGGACTCCAGAGCCCCAGCATTTTCACTGCAGGCTGTCTGATTGGATTTAAGGAAGTGCCCAGTGTCCAGAGGATGGCCACTTTCACCTGCCAGTGGTGGTGGTGGGGTACTGGGAACTGTCAACTAGGGGGCCCAAGTGAGGAAAGTGTAAGTGTGACAAGTCTCTCCCATGCATGAACAGACAAAGGAGCTCCACGGAGAAGGTAGTGAGCTCACTGTCAATTCAGTTATTCAAAGAGGCCAGGTGGCCTCATGTGCTTGGACAGAGCACAGGGTTTGTGGGAAGCACCCTGTAAATGGTCTGAAGTGTCGGTGATTGTGATTATCTAAGGACCATGGGGGTGGATTTGTGTGATGGCTCAGTTGAGCTGCCTGACCTTGGGTCCCTTCCGGCCAAGGAAATCTGAAGGTTATTCCAGGATCCCGACAGCAGGCGTGTCAACTGTGTTCCACTTTCTAAGGCTCAGTGGTCTGAGGTCACTCATGACCACTAGCAGTTGCTATGTGGTGAGGACAGGCTAGGAACCCTCTGGATTTAGATGGAAGACTCAGAGAGCTGGAGCCCAAAGACCTGACTTTGAGACCTGACTCCCCCATTTACTGTGTGGTCATGGGAAAGTCACCTGGCCTCTCTGAGCTGCTTTTTTCCTCATGTATGTAATGGAAATGACGGAGCCTACATTAATAACCTTAAGATTGTTTTCAGCAATCAGGGAGGTATGAGTAGACACAGCCAAATCCTCTATCTCCTTAGGAGTAGTTATGGTTCTTAGCCAATGAGCAGACAGGATGTCTGTGTGTTTGTTCTTGGAGGAACTGGGAGCAGCCAGGAGGGTGGGTTTCCTTAGCAGTAGAATGTTAGTAAGTCAGGGGCTGCTCCAGGGACGGCGGGAAGGTGTGGTCACATTTCCTGGCACACATGTGAGCTCTGGGGAGCCAGGCCTCCCCGCCTCCTGGGAGGTTCTAGCTTTGAGGTGCAACCAGTTCACCCTTAAAGGACCCAGAAGTGTCCAGAGGAAGCCTGCACCGACCCCCAGTTGCCACTGTGATAGACAGATGAAGGCTCCAAGTCACACAGCCAAGATTCCTGCCTGATTGGTCTAACGCAGGCTCCTATTCTTTCTGCAGTGTGGCCAGAGAGAGCAGTGGGCTTCTATGGCTACCCAAGTGTCTAGTCTGGGCCGCAGGTAGTGAGAGGGATCCTGTCAGGGGCTAGGCATCAGGCTGAGATTTGCTGGGGGCAAGTTGTGAATAGCACAGGCTGGAGGCCAGAGACTGTAGGTGGGATGGGGACTGTGCGTGCGTCCTGTGTGGGGCCAGCTTTTCTGTTAAGCTGGGGATAAGCACGCCTGCCAGGTCATGGGGACCCTTTGGTGTGAGAGTGCAGGTGGAGTGCTCAGTAAATGTTGTGCTCTGCCCCTCCCTAACCTGCCCCTGTGGCTTCCATTCATTTGTTCATTCATTCATTCAGCACATATTTTCCCAGAGCCTCCCCAGTGCCTGGCCGCACGGTAGTCACCACATGTAGCATTGCATAGCTGTAAGGGGAGGGCTCTAGTCTATCACGGGATAGGAAAGAGAGGTGATCACCACACTCAGCAAAGCCTCATGGTTGCTGGTGAGGCCAGCCTCCCAAGATAGCTGAGAGGGGGCCTCAGGGAGGACTCAGAGATCTGGGTCTCCAAGCATCCTGAGCTGTTGGTGTGCACACATGCACGCGTGTGAGTGTGTGCGCATGTGTGCATATGAGTGTGTGTGAGTGTGTGTATGTGGGGGGGCAGCTCCTGTGGGTTGGAAGATGAAGTGGAAAATGTGAGACAGCAGCTGCTGCTGCCTGGGGAAACCACAAAGCTCCCAGGACCACCAGTGTTCCCTGCTGAGGGGCCAGGCCTATGGCCGTCCCTGGGCATACTCCTGCACACACACACTGAATGTGTACACACACAGTCACAGCTCACGCTGAGACCTGAAGCCACTCAGAGTTGGATTCATATACACATCCAGTGACACGCAGATACTGTGTGCTTTCAGAAGGCTGCTGTCAGCCATGGCGGAGAGGACCCACACGGAGAGCAGTACATAGATCCTTGTGGACACACCATCTCTGTCTCGTCACACCACACATTACAGACAGACACAACACATGCTCACACCATCAAGAGATCCTAGGCTCAGAAGCACACCCTCAAACACACATCTCACACCCTTAGACACACTTGGACAAGTTGCAGAGATGGACACACAACCTGGAGACACCCTAAGACCTGTCAGAA